TCTGGTAAAAAGCATTGGAGTACTGTTTAAGAGGATCCTGAGATACATCAATGGTACCTCAGATGTTGTATTATGTTATGGAGGATCGGAGTTTACTATCAGGGGTTGTGGATTCAGATTTTACAGGTGATCCAGATAAAAGAAAATCCACTAAGGATGAGCCGTAAGTTGGGTTTTGAAATTGCAATCAGTTGTAGCATTATCAACGAAAGGAGAATATGTGGCGGCTACACAAGCTTACAAGGAAGCAATTTGGATTAAAAGGTTATTGGAGGAGCTCGGGCACAAAGAATAGAAGATTCTTTTATTTTGTGACAGCCAGAGCGCCTTGCACATTGCAAGGAATTAGCCTTTCATTCCAAGACGAAGCACATAGGAGTTCAATTTCACTTTGTTCGTGAAGTAGTGGAAGAAGGAAGTGTGCATATGCAAAAGATTCACACAAAAGAGAACCTAGCAGATGCATTGACCAAGCCACTAAATACTAACAAGTTCACATGGTGTAGATTCTGGTGTGGCCTAGCAAAAGCGTAAGCAGCATGGCAGTGACAATGTAGAAAGGATGGTGTGAAGACATGATTAATTCTCAATCAAATCTCCAAGTGGGAGAATGTAAACGTTGCCTAATAAGCCAAAGGCAACCACAATTTTTGAAGGAAAGAATGAAAAAAAAGGGAGAGAGACAGGGGAAGTCAACAGCAAATTCGATACTGACATTTGAGGGAAGAGCTAGTTGTTTACAACGGGCTTATACGGTTTTCTCAAGGGGGAACTCAGCTATAAATAGAGCTCCTTTCTTTCTCAGTTCTGCATCATATTCTCACCCTTCAGAGAGAATTCCCATAGTGTGAGAGAAATTTAGTTTCTCCAGTTTTTCTTCTTTTGTGAGGTGTTTCTCCTATTTATATGAGAGAGTAGTTTTTATTATTCTCTCAATGTAATTTAGAGAGAAGGTTGTAATCTCCATTTCTCATAGTGAAATCCTTCTACACTTGTCATGTAGTTTTTACCATGTCTCCTTTAGGGGTTTTTCACGTAAAATACTCTAAGTTCATATTATCTTCGTGTTTACTCATTTCTTATTTTACCGCCAGATTTACCAATAGATTCTCTGACGTTAGCACCAACAAATAAAAAGAGGGAGAGAAATGTAAAAAACCCTTATGATGCATTTGGTTTGTTAATTCTTGTGGTTTGAACTCATGAGTTTGGCTCAAATTGATAACTGAATGTGCACTGTCCAAACACCAATTTCTTGGAATTATTTTTTTTACTATTCAGAGTACTTTACACTTTCAAACACAAGTTTAAACCAAAGTTAAAACCCACATATGTTCCTTTCATTAGTTTGAACTATAATTTAAACATTATTGTTAGTACTGTGATTTCTCTCTCATAAATTTACATTTCTGTTAAAAGTTACAAAAAGAACAAGCTGAACTCTTGATTCAAACTAAAAAATTTATAACCACACAATTAGTAATTGCACTTTTCTAATACAATATTGACCAATAAAAGTTGAAGCAGCAATATTTGCCATGTTGAATATCCAGGACCCTTTATGATCACATCAGGTAACAAGAGGCTCGTTGCTCCGTTGCTGTCTCAATCCACCGAAAGCTTAGTCTTTCATAAACGTTTATTTTTCTCTCTTTAATTTCCTTACTGAGTTGTGACAGATTCATTTTATATGACCCAGAATTAGTCATGTATCCTAATGATGTACTTTAGTTATAGGCGTGTGTGGACGAGGCGATCAAATACATGGTGATAGCTATTAATCATTCTTTCTCTACAATGCAGGGATCTCTCTCTCTCTCTCTCTCTCTCTCTCTCTCTCTGTGATATTCAATGATCTACTTTTGTCATAATTAGTACGAACCCATAATTTGCCAGCAATCTTTAACACATATATGACTTGCATATATAGAATATAGTTAGAAGAATATTAATCAAAATATAGAAGTGTCATTGTCATGAACTTTTTGTTACTAGAGAAATATTACCATGCATGTGAGAGTACAGAAGGCTTGACACAATTGAAACAACCTAATAAATGTGTATATATATATATATATATATATATAGAAATAGTGATATGGTGGGTGTGTGTGTGTGTGTATGAATATGTATGTATATATTGGTAATGAAAGTAGTGATGATCTGATTACAGAGACAGATACATTGTAATTTATTCTAGGTAGAAATAAAGATCCGATCATGCGTTAAGTGTGTAATGACCTTGCAGATCTGTTAGGACAAAAGAAAAATATCATTCTGTCAAACTCAGCAAACATAATTTTTGGAATCAAGTATGAACTTCACAAACTCATCAAAGATCTCATGTGGTAATAATGTTATCTGTCTTTTTTTTTTTATGTAGCTTTGCTCTCCAAAAATATCTTCTTTAACAAAATGTAAGAATTTCAATGTCCTATGCAAGATTCTAGATTTTATTTAACTTTCCAACTAACCATACTAATACACTAATAAGTGGCTAAGCCACTATATATTTTATTTACATGTCACTGAGAATCTTATTATCATGGCATAAAGTAGCCTAGCTATTAAATGACCTCAGTGTCAATTAGGCTTTTGCCTAAGAGACGCGTTCCTTTTGAATAAACAAAATTTATTGGATATTAAAAAAAATGCCTGATTATCTTTCCCTTGAGGAACAAGTTTGTCTATGATTAAATCTATCACTCTCTTAGAAGTCTCAATTAGTTGACAAACGTAAATCTACAAGATGTCTCGAGCCCTTTATATGTACCGTATTTTTTATAAGGTATAAAAGTATCCTATTTTTTCAAAGAAGAAGAAGAAGAAGAAGAAGAAGAGTATCCTATTTTTACATTGTTTTGGAGAACTTTGTTAAAATTGCCTTTTATTTTGACATGATTAAACTTATGTCAAATTTACTTTGATGTTGAAAAATACATAGTACTAATAGGGTAAATCTCTATGAATTATAAGGACGGGTGTAGGTAAATTTAAATAATTTAAAAATCAATTCGTAATGACTAATGTAGACTCAGGAAAGCTGAATTTTACACCTATGAGTAGGGGGTGGAGAATTTCAATGGTTTTAACCATTTTCAGTCCCAATCACCGCCTCTTTTTTTTTTTTCTTTTAATTATGACAAATTTGACTCCAATTAATTAAATAGGTTCTCTATTTTTGAAAGGAAAATCTACCCATTTCTTTCTCTGTAGTGAAGCAATTAATGCGTTGGGATACTTCTACAATAAGTGGGAAAAATACCCATCTTGGGCACTAAGAGTAAGGATCCTTTCATCACATTATAATATTATGAATACCAAATGTGGAATAGGAAAAAGGTACTAATCTCATCATAATCTCATCATTTTCTCACATGGAGTCCCAGCAACTTATATCAAGAAAAATGTGTTACCAAACCACAAAAGATAAGCATTATTCTACCTAAGTAATACGTGCTAATAATTGAACACCATAAGGGCTAAGAAAGCAGGTTTGTGAATTGTGATAGATAACCAACAAATGATTTTATGGTCATATCAAAACTCAAAGTTAATCTCATATGCATAATGGATGTTTTATACATAATGACAAGTTGCATCATCTAAATTAGGTGCACTCATGATGATCAGGAAAGAATGGGCTTTCAATAAACTCTTTTCCCATATTTAAATATTCACTTTAAAAAAAAAAAAAAAGAATTGAGTGTGGGAGTCCATAGAAGACTCTTCAACTTGTAATGGAGTCAAGTGTGAAATTACCGCTAAACTATACGTACAACCATTAAAAAACCTCTTGTTGATCACTACTTGTTAATGTCAAATTGCCTTGAGTTATATTAGTATATCTTTGCTTGGCTATTAAGAACTATTGATATCAGATTCATGTTATCGATTGTTTAGAGTGCCAGATGGAACTGAAAAACACACACACACACACACACACATATATATATATATAAGACCATTCTGAATATCTGGCTAATTACAGATTATTATATATATATATATATATATAAGACCATTCTGAATATCTGGCTAATTACAGATTATGTATTAGTATGAAACCTTATAAAAAAGTTGGGGAATTCTTTATGTGGACCCAACTTAAAGAAAATCTATAGTTACTTGTTCTCTAAGGCTAAAAAAAATGTCAAAGAAAAGCCTATTTATGCAAATTTTTGTGCCCCCAGTCGATCAAGCTAAAGTGACCAGTGAGAAAAAAACACAAATAAGGGTCTTTTTTAAAAAACATAATAATAATAAATCCAAAAAATTCGCATAGCAAAGATTGATTTTCAACAACAACAAAAAAGGGCCGCAGAAAAGAAGACCTCCAACTTGTCGTAGCAAATTTTAAATTGGGGCATAGCAATATAACAACCAACTAAAAGAAATAAAAACAACGGATTTGAAAAAAAAATAAAAATAAAAAATAAAAACCTCGTGGCATCATTTTAAAAACCGACAATAGCCAAGAATAAAAGAATACATCCACCATAAACAACATCAAATCGCAAAAACGACAATATCATTAAACGACAAAAAATTCAAAATGGCAACGACAAGGAATCCCCGAATTCAGCAATCATATCCAAAAACTTGGGTACATCTGGACATCAAATTCAAAACCACCATTAAAAACGACAACAAAATGTACAATCGACATCAAAACCACCACTATAAATCATCAATTTCAATCTTCATCAACTACAAAACTAAGAAAGCGAATTAAATCAATTGAATCATAGAAACAATCTGCAGATACCCACAAAAAGGCCAGCCAGCAATAATCCAGAACACTAACCAATTTATTTAAGTCCGTTCATTATTATTTGAGTTTAGAATTTAAATTATTTTACTAAACATTCGTATTTAATTTTTTTTATAATAAAAAATTTTTAAATAAATTCATATCTCAATTTAAATTAAAAATTCAAACCAATTATTATTCACACGAACAAATAAAAACAAAAAGGAAAAAAAACAAAAAAGAAAGAGATCAAGTGTGGGAGGTGATTCGAAGAGCCTTGGTCTTGAACCTATAGCGAGGAGCCCTAGGAATGACCTGACTGGGGCCAAAGTGGAACTGACCGGGACTGTTGGTCATCGGAGCGCCGTCGTCGTAGACGTACCCGAGCAGATGGCCACAGTGATCGCACTTGATCTTGGTCCTCTTCCTCTGGATTCCCCAGTAGTTGACCGTCTCGAAGAAAGGCCGGATCTTGTCCTCCTTCTTGAACCGGAACTTGGCAGCGTCGGCCACGGCGGCGAACGACAGCGTTCCTTTGTTGCCGGCCTCGAAGTAGAAGTCCGCAGGGTACAGATTCGCCGTCTGTAGGCTCAGGTCGGTCCCGCACTCCCCGCAGCTGTAGATCGAAGCCATTGATTGATCGATCGATCGGTCGGTCGGAAGATTGGTTGACTTGATTGATTGATTGATTGATTTCTTCTTTTTTTTTTTTTAGGGGGGATTTGATTTGGGGTTTGAAGGAGAGATTTTTGAGAATTTTCAAAACCGCGTTTGCTGACGCCTTAGCTGACGACATAAATTTTGGAAATGATGAAAACGACAGTAGTGTAAAATACGACATCAGATATCAGAACTGAGACAACTGTTGGAAACGACAATGACGTCACAGAAACGACATCAAAGTTGAATAAACGACACAAGCTTCTGAAATTACGTTCACCAAGAAAGATATCAATAATTCAATAGTACTTGAAGCGATGGTAAAGATGAGTTCAGAAAACGAGCAAAGCTTCAACGTAAACCTCGTATGAAAACGAGATCGAGTGAAGAAACGACATCAACTCTACAGAGGGCAAAAACTCTTCATCAAGCAAAGCAAAATTTAGGTCTTGTTCATTTTATCGATTCGAGTTTAAAATTTAAATTTTATTACAGTAAAAAGTTCTTAAAAACAGTTACATATAACTTTTTAACTACAATAAAAAAACTCTCACATAAAATCACATCTCAACTCAAATTAAAAATTTAAATCAGTGAACTAAACGGACCTTATTAATGAAACAATAACTACCTTAGTCATAAAGCCGGAGGCCGACGTAACTTCTTTAATATCCTGTCTCCAGGACTATACTCTCAAAACGGGATATTGACATGTAAAAACGTCAAAAAAAAAAAAAAGGAAAAAAGAAACGACCGAAACTTAATAAACGCAATAAAAAAGCAATATATATATATATATATATATGTGTGTGTGTGTGTGTGTATGTATATGCATATATCATAGAATGAAACACGACTTCAATTGCTTAAAGGAAATCACCTTCAAGCAAAAACCCTCGAAAATGATAGTCACGAAGAGAAAGACAATAACCGATAAAACAAAACCACTTAATAAACGACGCTAAACATCTAAAACGACAAAGCAACATTAGCCTCAGTGAAACGAGATTGGCATAGAGAAGGACATAACCCGGAAAGAAAAATGATTTTGACCGAAAAAACAACATTCATGTACATTAGAAAACATCCATAGAAAACGATATTTAATCAATAAACGGCAATATACAAAGTGACAGTAGATTTGGGACAGACAATAACCCCCCAAAACCCACCTTGAGTGGAGAGGACGTGCCTGAAAAGAAATAACCTTGAAAAGAATTTAAACTCAAAGAAACAATAACAACTGGTTTAACTCAATTCAGCTCCGTTTGAATATGCTCACTCAATTCAGTTCAATTCGAATAGTGAGCATATTTTAAACTCGTATTTAGTAAGTATATATTCTGAATTATATCTCCGTTTAAATTAAGTTAAACTGTCAAATTTAGAGTTTAACTCTCCCTTTAAGTGTAACCGTTCAAATCATTTTTAAATAGTAAAAATGTGTCAACTTTCTCTGCTTTTCACACCTACAAAACACTAATTTGAATTTTATTCTCTATTCAAATTAAAATTTTAACTGCATATCTAGATACTAATTCGAACTACAATTTAAACCGCAAAGTTCAAATTTTCTGTTCGAACAAAAAAGTTCAAATCAATAAAATTTAAACCAACGAATCAAACAGGGGCAAACATTTTCATGGTCATTCATGCCGTTCCCACAAACCTTTATCCAGCTCCCTTATCCTTTATTCGTGTGAAACTTAAAAAACGCAGACTAATCACACCTTACGCATGTGCAATTAATTAATTTCCCTTGACATGAGTGAGATACTAATCCATGTAAATATTATATTGACAAGTGCGAAACAGGACCTACCATTATTCCAAGTTGGAAATTCTAAAAAAAATAGAAGACCGACTCTAGTATAATTATGTCCCCTTGTTTTAACATATATATAGATGAGTTTTACATATATATATATATATATACATATATATACATATGTGTGTGGTCAAAAAGGTTCAAAGCCATCATGAAGCTTGCCTTTTGAGAAGGTATAGAACATGAACTTTGAAATAATATAATCAATCATAATCTCTAGAATCTATGGTAGTTGGGTGCTCGCAAAATCACGCTGCTTCAGATGTCAAAACCCAAGTCACGCTCGCTAAATATTGCACTATATATATTCCATCATCTTGGCCAAGCAATTCTCACTATGACATGCAATACAAAATATTACAAAAGGTTTTCTCTTAATTAATTTTCCTCATGTACTTTGTTTCATTCTAAACCAAAACATATTACATTCACCGAGCATTATTTTCCATCAGAGAGACTAAATGGCTCCGAGTACTTTCGACGACGGAAACTCTCTCTTCAACTTCGTCGTCCGCGACGGATACGGCGTGAAAGGCCTCGTCGACCTAGGCGTTTCAAATGTGCCGGAGCGGTACGTGCAGCCGCCGAAGGAGCGGATAGAGAAGTCAAGTGCCAAGTCTCTCGAGGCTTCACCGGTCGATCTGTCGAAATTGGACGGCCCTGATCACGACAACGTGGCAGCGGAGATTGTCCGCGCCGCGGAGAGTCTAGGGTTCTTCCAGGTAGTCAACCACGGCGTGCCTTTGGAGCTCCTCGCGTCGCTTAAAGCGGCTGCGTTTCGGTTTTTTGAGCAGAAGCCGGAGAATAAGGCGCTTTTCCGAAAAGGCGCAAGCCCTAGCCCTAACGTGAAGTATGGGACAAGCTTTGCACCGGAGAAAGAGAAGGCCTTAGAGTGGAAGGACTATATCAGTATGGTTTATACCACTGATGATGATGCTCTTAAATTTTGGCCTGAAATTTGCAAGTAAGTTTTTTCATTTTTCATTTTTTTTTTCCCTCTTAACTTTATACTTTTCTTGACATTTATTTCTAGATCATATGCTTGACTAGAATAACTACATTTATACATGATCTTATTTACGTAGTGTCTTCACTCATCCATTGATCGCATATAACCATTTTTCTTTCAAACTGACATATATTTTATCCACCATGTCACTTGTCAAATAATAGTGGCAGACTATCTCAAATGTTAATACCTTTTTGTCATTTTTGTCATGGGAATTTTTTGTGCCATATGTGTGATGAATCATAAATCGATGATGCACATGTACAAAAGTGACATAATAAATAGCAAAAAGTTGATTTAACACGCAATTAAGAATAAGATAATGGAACTAGTTTGTAAGCATTTATGCGGGGCACATTAATCTTTGTTGTATGCAAAATAAAGCAAGTGCATGCTTCTCGAAAATAACACAAGCAAATTATAAAGGTTCGTTTATTTCACCGATTCGAGGTTAGAATTCGAGTTATGCTACAGTAAAAAACTCTCAGAAACAGTCACATCTAACTTTTTTGCTACAGTAAAAAAACTCTCACATAAAGTTACATCTAAACTCTAATTAAAAACTCGAATCAACAAACTAAACAGGCCCAAAGAAAGTGACGCGTATGTGCTGACAGTTTGCCTATTAATTATATTATTTTATACTATATATTTGTAGGGAAGTTTCTCTTGAGTATCTAAAGACATCACTAGACATGGTGAAGAGACTACTCAAAGTTCTAATTTCCAACCTTAAAATGACGGTGGAGGACTCAGAAATTGAAGCTCTCATCGGTCTCAAAATGGTTAACATGAATTTCTATCCGGCGTGCCCTAATCCTGACCTCACCGTCGGCGTGGGCCGCCACTCCGACATGGGCACCCTGACTGTGTTACTTCAAGATGGAATTGGTGGTCTGTACGTTAAAGTTGAAGAAGACATGGATGCTGTGAAGAAAGGAGAGTGGATAGAGATTCCTCCTATCTCCGGTGCTTTAGTTATCAATGTTGGTGACACTTTGCAGGTTAATACATAATTAGTTGACCTATCCAGTTATGATAAAAAAAATGACTTCCATGTATCATATATGCATGTCACAGATTATATATAAATTAATTAAGCGTCCAATTAAAGCCTTAAAAAATTTCAAAGAAAAATATTTTTGGTGGGGTATATATCTAGAAAAAGAAATACCACTTTTTAGACCATCAAATTTTTAGAGTGCGTTTGATTGGTGTATTCATGTCATGATTTGAACCATGATTCGTAGTTTGTTATAGTATTTTTCTTAAAAAAATACACGTAAATCGAGAATAATTTTAAATCATAATTTTAAATTTATGAACTAAACGTCCACTAATATGTTCCGTCTATTTTATATATTTTTTTATTTTGACATAATATGACATTAAAAACACGCATAACGATAAAGATTTCCTAACGTAATAATTCTACTTCTGATCTATATATGTGATTTGTTATCAGATACTGAGCAATGGAAGGTACAAAAGTGCTGAACACAGGGTGCGTACGACAAGTACACAATCGAGAGTGTCAATCCCAATATTCACAATCCCAAAACCAATTCAGAAGATTGGACCACTGCCTCAGGTGGTGCAGAGCGATGGAGTTGCTCACTACAGGGAGGTTGTGTTTGGAGATTACATGAACAACTTCTTTGGAAATGCACATGATGGAAAGAAGTCTCTTGATTTTGCCAAGATATAGACAATTCATTAAATTATAATCTTGTGCTTTTAATTACCTAGCTCGCCTCTATAGCCTTATATACACACACACACATATATATATATATATATATATATATATATATCATCTCTCATGCGTGTTCTTGTGCTTTTAATTACCTAGCTCGCCTCTATAGCCTTATATACACACACACACATATATATATATATATATATATATATATATATATCATCTCTCATGAGTACCCATATGCATGGCATATCCTTTGTGTTAATCTCTTTTGTCTAGCTAGTAATTTACTTTGTTTGGTGGTTGGTCTCTATATATCGTGATGAAGAAAGCTTATAATTCATTATAATGTAACTTGAGGTTTGTCTTTTGCTGCTAGTTGTTGCAATAAACTTTTTTCTTTTTTTAGTTGAAAGTCTGATCGAGTGAAGAAACGACATCAACTGTATAGACCACAAAAGCTCTTTGTCAAGCAAAATTTATAGCGAAACGATAATTTCCATAGCCTTAAAAAACGACAATAATTCCTTGAATATCCTTTCTAAAAGACTATACTCTCAAATAGTCACGTTGACTTAGAATAATAATATAAAAAAAAAAACTTAAGAAACGACGATAACTTTAATAAACGACAATAAAAATCATATATATAATTATGTTATGAATTTCCTCATCATACAGTGCGTTTATTACAATAGGATACTGTAGACTTTTCACACGTACGACTATCTTTTTTATTAAGAGGATGTTTGGTAGAGGGATTCGTTCCCTGATTCAAATCGTGATTCGTTACAATATTTTTTTTTCACAAAAAATACACATAAATTAAAAATAATTCGAATCACATAATTTAAATCTTCTAATCAAACGTCATCTAAATATATTTGGTAACGGGAATAAGGGAGGCTAATGACGATAGTTATATATACAATGGTCTATGAGACAATAAAAATCATATATATAATTATGTTATGAATTTCCTCATCATACAGTGCGTTTATTACAATAGGATACTGTAGACTTTTCACACGTACGACTATCTTTTTTACTAAGAGGATGTTTGGTAGAGGAATTCGTTCCTTGATTCAAATCATGATTCGTGATTCGTTACAGTATTTTTTCTCACAAAAAGTACACATAAATAAAAAATAATTCGAATCACATAATTTGAATCTTCTAATCAAACGTCATCTAAATATATTTGGTAACGGGAATAAGGGAGGCTAATGACGATAGTTATATATACAATGGTCTATGATAATCGTATATATGTATACGTAATGCAAAGGGAAAAGGAAAAAAAAAAATGTAAACTTGCACAACTTTCTCTCTCTCTGACAATCAATACTTTGTCTCTTTCTCCTTTTATATATTCTGAGATTGAGAAAAGAAATTTGCTTTCTCTAGGTGGTGCTTACGTACAAGCTAAAAAAACTTTGAATGATATCATGATCAGACCTATTCTTGTAGCTGAGAGCGTGGTTGCAAAACCATGCTTTTTCGAATGCGTGAAAGCCAATTTTTATGCTCGTTTTCGGGTTCCCGATAATTTAAATTAGAGTAATTTTAATTATAATTTTAAAATTATAATTATAATTTATGATTTTAAGTTTAAATTATGATTCTGAAATTATTATTTAGAATCAGGGGTTTGAATCACCTTAATCAAGAGAGGAGTAGTTTTAACGTTTGGTTCATGGATTAGAATCATGAGATTAAAACTATTTTCGATTTACGTGTATTTTTTATGATAGAAAATATTGTAGCAAACCATGAACCATGATTCAAATCATTGTATGAATCTCCTTACCAAACACAAGTGATTCTGGTTTAAAACATCATATCAGACTCTGAATTATGATTCAGAATTATCCAAACTAAACAGTAATTATGAATCATGATTCAGAATCACTGTAAACAAACACTGATTCTAAACAAGAATCTATAATCATAATTCTGGATCTATCTACCAAACGCCCCCTCAGTGTTTTTACGTACACAATCCATACATTGATCTGAAGATTTTTTTTTAAATAAAAATGGAGTTAATATCAAGCAATAGCCATTTTGACACATACAATGTTTAAAATACAGTGATGAACCACTTCCAATCAATAGTCTAAAGAGAAAACAAATTCTACCAGTATGTGGGCCGCTTTATTGCAAGTTCGAGCAACAAAACAACAGGAACCACCACCAACATTGTAAAGAAACATCCTAATATTAGCTAGAATTGGCTTTTCAACCACTAAAGTGGTTGGATTATTAACATATTAGACCACCGAAGAGGAATCACACTCCGCACTGGAAACGAAAAGGCCGCTAGTTATTTATATATTTAGATCTCGTTTATTTCATCGATTCGAGTTTTGTTATAATAAAAAACTCTCAAAAACAGTCACATTTAATTTTTTTATTACAGTAAAAAGTTTTCATATAAAATCACATCTCAATTAGAATTAAAAATTTAAATCAACAAACTAAATGGGTCATTAATATTGAATAGTGTGACAATATTTATATTTAACATGTTGTTTTTATTTATATTCCAACGGATAATTTTATTTTAAATGTTAACGATGCGATTGTAAAGTAAATGTTGATGATCAATGCTATAGGTCGCACGATTAGCTACCGTGCATATTGAAATCGAACGGTCACGATCATGACATCTTGTTAGTAACAATCAATTGGCATTTAATTACATCTTTATCTATACGTTAAAAGGGATAAATTTATCAATTTAGAGATCAAAAGCAGTTGTTAATTTAAAAATTAAGGGTGACAATTCGTGTTAGTATGTCGTATTTATGTCAACTTATTTATTAATTGTGTAAAAAAAAATTAATCTAAATATGATTTGTTTATTAAACGTGTCAAAAATATCAATCTAAACACATCTCATTTATTAATCGTGTTAACATGAATAACTCGTTTAAATTAATACATTAAATAAATAATTAATATAATAATGACTTATTTAATACGGTCAAGACAAGTTTAATATGTTTATTGGTCAATTTATCTTTTTTTTTAAGAAAAATGAATGAATTTTACCTATAAATATTAAAATTCATAGTATTTGTATTTAATGTGTCATATAAACTTTCATGTTATATCACATATCATTAGATTGTAAATGAGACATATAATTAATCGTGTCAATTTGTGTTAAGAAATCAACTCTAACCTAACTTATTTATTAATCGTATTAATCTTATCAACCTAATTATAATCTAAACTCATTTATAATAAATCAATTAACTTCACACAAATTTTAAATCGTGTTATCATGTCCCTCGTCCGGATTATCGACCCAACTAAAAACTCCACGAATTTACACTTTCCAGAACAATATCCAAGTTTTTTATTTTTTATTTTTTTATCTATATCATCGTAAGACATAAATATCCCTCAATAAAAATGCTATGCCGTTTTATTCTTCTGAAACGACATGATTGTTCGACAACGTGTTTACACACGAACTGACAAAACGACCAGTATCTTTAACTATAAAATGAAACGACCTTGCATTTTCTTTTTCAGCCGTTTAAAGAAAGTTCTTCCCTTTCACCTTTTACGCTCGCCCACTCTGCAAAGCAAACTCTGATGGAAATTCAGCCATGAATGAAGACAAGGAAGCTTTTCTCAAAGACAATGGCGGATCCTACGGCTACCCAAACGCTCCCAAAACCATCGACGAAATCCGAGCCACCGAATTCAAACGCATAGATGGTTAGTTTCAAATGTTTTTTTTTTCCTTCTAATTTTTGTTATCATCTTCCTTTGATTCCGAGAAATTAAGCTATTTTTGCTTCGTTTCATTGCTCAAAGTCTTGTTTTTTGATTTAAAGGATCGATTTTTTTTTTTTGTTCGGAAATGGCTTAGGTCTTGTGTATTTGGATCACGCTGGAGCGACTTTGTATTCTGAATTGCAGATGGAAGCAATCTTTAAGGATTTAGCGAGCAATGTCTATGGGAATCCTCGTATCCTGTTACGTTGAATCTTAGTCTTATTGTCGAACTAGATAGATTTTTGTCACTTTTAACTTGCTTAATACAATCTTTGTCTTTAAGAATTGGGTTTTCTATTTTGATTTCTTTTGAATCAATTCTTCTTTTAAAATGGTGGTCCTTAATTGAAGTATAGATAGCCAAAGTGATTCCAGCTCTGCCACTTGTGATATAATAAGGGAAGCCCGCCAACAGGTAACACTTGTCTTTGAATTTTTGGTATTAATTCTCAAAAATTTTATGATTATTCCTAGTCTACAGATTATTTTCAACATAATTTTTTAGTGTTTGAAAACAATGATTGTTATGATGTTTCATGTTGAAGGGTCAAATTGGAAGTCCTTAAAGTCCCCCTTTTTTTTTTTGGTAAATCTAATTTTTTTCATTTTTGTTGCTTGCTTCGATGTCTACTTTTTAAAGCAGAATAATCCCAAACTAAAAGTAGAATGGAAACTTGGTGCGTAGTAATTGTTGTTGCTTGTATTGTCTGTGGCTTATTGATAGGATTCTTGTTTTGCTTTCATATAGGTTCTTGACTATTTCAAAGCTTCCCCAAAAGACTACAAATGCATATTCACTTCTGGGGCAACTGCGGCATTGAAGTTGGTAGGTGAGGCTTTTCCATGGAGTAGTGAAAGTTGTTTTACATACACAATAGAGAATCACAACAGTGTTCTTGGAATAAGAGAGTATCCTGTACAATATTGTGATTATTATTGTTATATAAATTTGCGGGAAGTAATGTCGTGATTAATTTGGCATCATATTGATGTAGATAACTTTTTTGATGTTCTGTGTCTGGAGTATCCTCTCTCCTTGTAGTTTCATTTTCCTGTCATGACTTTGTTACCCTTAATAAGCCTTAGATACGCTCTCAGTCAAGGAGCTGCAGCTCTTGCAATCGATATTGAAGAGTCTGTGCATGTATCCAATGGCACAGTCGCGTCTATGAGAGTTTCACAGCATCAGGTACAGAGGAGAAATGATGCCAAACCCCTTCAGCATGAGCCAAAAGGTAAATCCTGGTGGACATATCTTATAGCGCATGAAATTTTTTGGTCCTTATAATTGATGATAATAGTTTAATCATTCCATTATTAGTCACGTGTGGCTAATTCTCTGAAATTGCACAAGGACCGCTTAATTTTGCTGTTGGGAAATTTGTTTGTGCTTTTCACAATCCTAATAAATTACACAACTAGTTTCACAACATATTTTACCTTATGCAGGTGATGCATATAACTTGTTTGCCTTCCCATCAGAGTGCAATTTCTCTGGCTTGAGATTCAATCTTGATTTGGTGAAGATGATAAAGGAAGATTCTGCAAGAATTTTGGAAGGCTCTCCATTTTGCAAGTAAATAATCCATACAAGTTACTTTACAAGCTAGTTAATTTAGGATCCTCTTTGTCATTGACGTACAGACATTGTTTTTAAAATCACTTCAGGCTTATGTAGAAGCTTCACCTTAAAGCTTTCTCATTGTTTTTGTGCCTTTGGGGTCTTTCAGACTGAACTCAGAATTTTGAAAAGAAGAGAGGGAAAAAAAGAAGAGAGAAGATAAGGGAAAAAAATGTAGATGGGCTTCTTATAATGCTAAAGATGGAGAGGAAACGAAGAAAGAGGAGAAAAAGATGGAGGAGATAGAAACTTTGGTAAGCTCTGTGCTGCTCATGCATGGGTAAGCTTTGACGAGCTTATTAAAAGATTCTTTCTCCTTCACGTTTCTTCTCTTCTTCTTTTATCCGTCTACTTCTTCTTTAATGGCTCTGTAATGCACGAGCATAAGCTCATTTACGTTCCTCGTCTTACCTTTCTTTAATTCTTTTTTTCCTCATTTCCTATTCAAAACCAAAGCTTAAGCCACAAATACTCCACATTCCAAGCCTCAGTGATTATGACTGAGAAGACCGGCATTTATTTGACTTAAGATGGTTGATGCTTATACTAGACATAATACTCTTCTAGCCTTATATGTGAACCACTTAAAGGTCTCTTGTCTACGCCTTTGGTTTCTATTGTTTGCTTTTGCGTTCCTCTTCTTTTGGGGAAAAAATGGAGAGATGGGAGCTACTATGCATACATGTTTTTACATGCACGTGTCTGCATTTTCTGCCTAGTTAGACTATATATATTCATCACCTGAGTCTTCTTCTTTCTTCCTTCCTTCTCGCTTTCCCCTCTTCCCCTGTTGCTCACTTCTTATATCACAAATAGTGGGCACTGGATGGTCTTGATTGATGCTGCGAAGGGATCAGCAACGGAGCCACCAGATTTATCCCTGTATCCAGCAGATTTTGTTGTCATATCTTTCTATAAGGTACATTGTATGAACTTCTGGATTTATAACTAGCATGTTGTTTACATTGAATTGGATTGACATTCTTTGTTCTTGTTTTTGTTTATTTGTTTTGTTGATAAGCTATTTGGCTATCCAACTGGACTCGGAGCTCTCATTGTCCGAAATGGTAAGCAATATACTTCGAAATAATTGATATCTTATTGCATCACCATATGATGGTGGTGTTAAACTACGTATTGCAATCAGCGAATCACCCTTTTGGTATGGTACTATAGGCAGGTACTCTGAGTTTATTCTTTTCAAATCGTAAATTTCTCTTGAAGCTTATCTACGCATGAAAAGTTGCTCTAGGACTTTGTTGATGATAATTGCATTAATTTTCTATTGAAATTTTTCAGTCTACTTGCTTCATATTTGCTTGTGATGTCTCTTCCTTTCTTTTTACCTTTTTTCTATTTGTTTCGGGTATAGTTATTACCATTTCTATTGAAGATTTAACTGATCTTCTGCTAATACAGTCTCTTAAATCTTTAATGTGATATTTCTTATTGGACATTAGAACAGTGCAATTTCTTATAGGACATTAGAGCAATTTATTGATCATATGCTTTTGCATGATCTAAACATTTCATCATTTAAATCGCAGATGCTGCCAATATATTGAAGAAGACTTACTTTAGTGGAGGTTGGCTCCTACATTATCTTATTCTCAATTAGTACTTTAGTTTAGTTACTGAATTTTTAACCATGATAACATTACAGGCACAGTTGCTGCATCAATCGCTGATATTGATTTTGTTAAAAGAAGAAAAGGTGTTGAAGAGCTGTTTGAGGATGGGACCATTTCATTTCTAAGCATTGCATCTATTTCTCATGGGTTTAAAGTTCTCAATTCTTTAACTGCATCTGCAATAACTCAGTAAGTTATAATTTATTAGTTAACCTTCTCATATCGTATATGATGTTTCGATGGTATTTTATTGTATGTATATATATATTTATGTCTATACTACATACATATGATATTTTCCAAATCACACAATTTATACATGTATATGTGTTTTCCAAATCATAATAAGTTTTCTCTTTCAAGGCATACAAGATCACTTGCAGTGTATGTGAGAAAGGTGCTTTTGTCCTTACGGCATGAAAATGGAGCTAGTGTTTGCACACTTTATGGAGCTGAAGCTTCCAAGGTCATTTTAAACTAACCACTTTTTGCATATATCTTGTTCTGTATGTTTTTGCATGTTATGTATAATTTTCTTGTTTGGTAATTGACAAGTCAATATAGTAAGTTACTATTTCATAAGTACTGTTTTCTCATGCTTCTTTTCTCATCCTTCCTTCTGTGTTGTAAAGGAAACAAATTTGACATATGTTGTAACCATCATCTGTCAGGTATTATGTCATGACTTTGGTCCTATTGTCTCATTCAACTTGAAAAGGCCAGATGGTTCTTGGTATGGATATCGCGAAGTGGAAAAACTGGCATCTTTGTCAGGAATTCAGTTACGGGTATATTTCAGAAATTTCTTACTTGCATTCATGTTATAGTTTACAATTTTCAACTTTATTGGCATTGTTTTAATTGTTTTATTTTTTTGATGCTTTTGTTCTCAATTTTGCATGTAACCCCTAGTTGTACTAATAAAGATCTGCTTCTTCATGAGCTAGGGATGGTAGAAAAATCAGGGTATTTAACTTCATTTTTGAAAGAATGCTGACAGTGTAATTTTTACCCTGCTTTTCTGAATAGACAGGATGTTTTTGCAACCCTGGTGCATGTGCAAAATATCTTGGATTGTCTCACATGGATCTTCTTTCAAATGTTGAGGTGATTGTTGTTTTATTTTCATCAACAACTTTCATTCTATTTGAATATTTTATAAAATGGAATTACGCTGTTGACAATTGAACTTTCCTTATTAGGCTGGCCACGTTTGCTGGGATGATAATGATGTCATTAACGGGAAACCAACTGGAGCTGTGAGAGTATCCTTTGGTTACATGTCGATATATGAAGATGCCAAGGTAGGCTACTACAGTTCTATATTTGAGCTGTTGTGATATTTTAGGTAAATATGTGAGCAAAAGTTAGAGCTTGGATTTTCAAATTCTTTTAGCCTTCTTGCTCATTCTACATTATAGGTTGAAATGGATAAACAGCTTAATAATGAATATATCAAAGGGTTGATTCTTTTGACAATTCCAATATTCCATATCCATCTAATTTTTCTCTTCTTCTAATAAATGTTGCAGAAATTTGTCGATTTCATAACAAGGTCCTTTGTAGCATTACTAGATCAAACTCCAACCTTTTATAAGTTCAAGCAAGGTCCATTCCCTTTCCAGATGAAGGTTATTTATGTGCTGCCTCGTGCTCTAATATGGATGAGTTGAAATTTAGTCCAAATTGCATAGCATTAAACATTCTTTACCTTTTGTTCAATGTTTTTCTTTCCTTTCTTTTTACCTTGATGTTATGTTACAAAATGTTATAATTCAATCCATTAGTGCAAAATATTCTGCTGGAGTTTCTATTTTGTAATGGTTATAGGATTTAATTACACTTCACAACCTTATCTTTGGTTCCTCAAGGCGAGGCTTACTAGTATAGGTAAGTCTTACAGTCACATAGGGACAAACAGAAAAAGGAAAGGAGAAAGTTCCAACGTGTATGTCAACATGAACGCAGTCCGTTCTGCTTTAGTTTCGTATACGTAGATCTTTCAATCATTTCACATTTAACTGGCATAGGTTTTCTACATCAATAATGTGGATTCTATCTCCTTAATAATGTTGTAATGTTGTAGTTTCATTGTCGTAGGTGATCACGCCATACCTTCAACTGTGCCAGTAAACCTGAAATGCATTGTTGTCTACCCGATAAAATCATGTGCAGGATTCAGCGCACAAAGTTGGCCTCTAAGCAGAACAGGTAGCTTTACTCTCCATATGTTTGTTATTTTCATCTTGCACAGAGCAAAGCAACACCTTGCAATGACCTTGCAACCTGAAGTAAAGGAAGAACTCAAAATTGTGTAGTGCTGTTAACATTAAACTTTGAAGAGTTAAAAAAAAAAAAAAAAGCAAAGAAGAAAGAGAGAGAAGGATTCACGCTAAAGAATCAAATCAAATGGGAATGCTTTGTCTAAGTGAAGAGATTGGATTTTAAGTGCATTTATATACACCTTTTAAGTTAACAGCGTCAAGTTTCTTTGAGAAAAGAATTGAGCAATGGTTTTTCAACTATATGGTATATTTTGAGCAGGTCTACAGTATGACCGTGAGTGGGTACTCACAAGCCTAACTGGAGAACTTCTTACGCAGAAGAAGGTGAACTCTTATTTCCTTTGAGCACGTCCTTGGTTACACTTCAATACAAATGCGCACATGTTACAAGAGGGGTTTATAGTATTATGTGCTTGAATGCCATATGTGGGATGGTTCACTTTTATTTTCTGCTCTAGCCATGTGCTTAAGACATTTTAGTTTATTAGCAATATGTTGTATCGTGTTTTAATTTATTGGAACTTGGTTTATAGGTCCCCGAAATGTGCTTTATAAGTACTTGTGTCGACCTCAAGCTAGGAATATTGTTTGTCGAATCACCACGCTGTAATGTGAGACTATCAATAAATCTCATCTCAGATTGTCAGATAGAAGAAATTAATATACATGGCCGGAGGTAAGACACAATAAGTTTGCTTGACACATGCTTGTTCTGTTTGCCGGTTATTAGTCAACGGATATGGCCCTCGTAAATCAGTTGCCATGTGGTGGTCTCAAAATTTCAGTGAACTAATATGGGATAGATAGGCTTATTAATGCTAACTTTGGTTGCAGATGAGCAGCAAATGATAATGTTTTTTCATAATTAGTATCTTGGCCAACTTTAAATCACCTTTAAATATGAAAGAACTTTCTGTGTTTTTGGTCATTCAACATTTAAGATTTGTTCAGGTCTTGCCATATCTTATTGTTGCCGTGATTTAAACGTATTAAAAGATCCTTGGAATGCATGAGATGAAGTCAAGTTAACATCGGACTTTTTTCCTCTCACTCACATCACATAGACGCTCACAAATTTGTTGGAATTTTTGGAAAGAGCTCTAAATGCATTGAAAACTAAAATTGTTTTTATGATTCTCTCTAATTTTTATTTATCTGCATCTTTGTTCATTTGATCTTTATTTTGCTTTCTTATTAGATATGAAGTCCAGGGTTATGACGATGAAATCAACACTTGGTTTAGCAGTGCCATTGGGCGACCATGCACTTTGTCACGCTGTTTCAGTTCCAATCACAGCCTTTGCCTGAATAAGAACAATAGTACGGGCGTGTGCAGAGATGTGCGGGGTGTATTAAATTTTGCTAATGAAGCTCAGTTCTTATTAATATCTGAAGAAAGCGTAGCTGACCTCAACAACAGAATAAACATAAGTATGTTCTCATACTGTAGTACTTTCACATATAACTAGTAAACTTTTCATATCCAAATATGAAATAATCCTTTTCATATGAGCTGATGAGAATGGACTGCCTTGATTCCTAATAAACTTGCTAATTGGTGATTTATAAGGGAGAATATTAGATTGCATTATCTTTAATATTAATGTGAAAGATAGTCTAACAAAATTGAAATAGAGGATCCTAGAATCTCAATCAGTGAAACTAAACCATATAATTCAATTGATTTGAGGAAGGCCCAAATATAATGCATCCTTAGGGCAGCAATATGAAAGCTTAATGACAATAGAACACCAAAACTTGAAAATTATAGCTTTCATTTTAAAAGTTATCTCGGTCCTGGTTTATTTGAGTTCTGAGACTTGTGCCACTCATTAATTGATGACAGAAGATGTGCAAAAGGCTTCACAAGGAGCAGTTGCTCAAGTTAATCCAATGAGATTTCGGCCTAACCTTGTCATAGCTGGAGGTGAACCATATGCTGAAGATGAGTGGAGAAATCTTAGAATCGGGCGTAAATATTTTACTGTAAGTTCTTGTAATATAAACTGGCGATAATTTTTTTTAAAGACAGAATTTTACTAAAACCCACTCTGCTGTCTAGTTTTTCTTATCTTTTCCATTTGACAGTGACTTCTTGACTGATGTAGGCATTCATATTTCTTACACAACCTTGTTATAGCGGTTTAAAATACTGGAGATATGCACTAGTTATATCATAAATATCGAACCTTAAATGCTTGCATCCATCTTCATTCTTAGATGGGATACCTTCAACTGCAGTCGATCATTCCAATCAATAGTGTTTATGGCAAATCTGCACGTCTGCTGTTTCGGAAAATACATAAGTAACATATACTAGTTTCTTTTCCAGTCTTTAGGTGGATGCAACCGTTGCCAGATGATCAACATTGTTCATACAGGAGGACACGTGCAAAAGTCAAATGAGCCTTTGGCTACTCTAGCATCATATAGGAGGCTAAAGGTCAGCCATGATCGACTAATTGAGTTTGCGTTTTCACCATTACTAATTTCTTTTCTGCTTTGGTTGTTTTTTTCATTTCATTCTTCTTAACACCAAGCAAATTGATCGTTTCTGAGCAGGGGAAAATTTTGTTTGGGATACTTCTGAAATATGATAGGAGCGATGAAGGACAAGACAATGATATGTGGCTTCAAGTTGGAGAGGAAGTACATCCAAATTGTATTTAGCTTCAAGACTACCATATGAGCAGCCTTTCTGCATAGTCTGTTGATGGAAGAGATATTCCAAGGCTTTATAAATCAGTTAGGACTTAAGATAAACAATAGAGTCCTCGCAAATCTCCGGGAACAACCTTTATAGTTGTCGAGAAATCGGGTCACAAAATCGGCGGAGGAAACATACAGTTACTGGTCCTCTACAATACAGAGCAACTAAGTCCATTGTATACTCCTTCAAGGTTGCCACTTCCAAAAGAATGGGATGACATGACACAATGCACCACGCCCGGTGCAAGAAAATATGCACACTTACAGAAACTGTTTATATTTATGTAATGATAAAATATGTATACACATATATCGTTAACCATTTTGAAAAGCAAAGGATGAAACAGTTTGACGCACAATCTAGTATCAAATTTTACATGTAATCTTTTTTTTTTTTTAAGGTTTGATTTTCCACATTGGCTGGTAAACTTTGTTATAATAGGCGAATCATTTGCGATTATTTCTTAGGTTGGATGATGGATTACTTGATCTTTATTTAAATACAATTGACTAAGGTAGCTTTGCTCAAGTTATAAGAACTACAGGACAATTGATTTGGCCAAGGTTGCTTGCTTTTCTTAGAGTGGAAAAATGAAGGCCTTCCAGAATATAGTGGAAAACAAATGAATTTCTGGTGTTAGACATTTTCTTCTAACAGATGTACAATTCAGGATTTTTCAACTTCATTAGCAGAATCATAAGCGTTGTTTTCCCAGATTGGATGTCCTAAAGCCTAGTAAAAAATAAAAAATAAAAATAAAATAAAATCGAACTTTGTGACGATATACGTTTCTTGACTATAGACCTTTGACTTTCTGATCCAGTATTTGGGCAACTATTCTAGGCCTTCTCTTGGCTGAGTGACTTTCTAGATCTTTTGGCCAATAAGTTGTCATTTCTTTCGCATCACCTTTTTCATTTTTTTTTTGTTTTTTTTTTTACTAATAATATTAATTTATGACCGTTAAATTTATTAAAATTATATTAAAATTAAAAATATATATAAAAATAAATAATTTTTAATACGGATTTAACGACTGAAAAGTAAATAATTGTTTATAGTTTATTTTTTCTAATACTTCAAGAAAAACTCTCTTTTTTTTTTAAGTTTTTTTTGGATGTTATTATTAGTTTTCATTTACCTTGACAAATTTGTTTTAGAGGTTTGAAATTTTGATCTAGTCACGAGTATGAGAGCTACTGAATTATTGATTTGTCAAATGTCCCCGCTTTAGTAAAAACATGAAGGGAATACAATTCCTTCACATGTTGCAACAATTTGAAAAAGGGAAAATCTTTTACCTCACAAAAAGTTTCTCTTCAGCTAAGCCTATCCATGTAATTGAGATTAAATGCTTGAGATTTACGCTAAAATAGAATTGACATTTAACCTATACTAAAATGGACATAAACTATATTACATCAAAATAGGAAGAAACCAAGTACAAAAAAAAAAAAAAAAAAGAGAAGGTCAAGAAGAGCCCCTATCAAACATAATAATAGGTAGGAGAAAATGAGGAAGGGAAAGTAAGAAAGAGAATGAGAAGTAACCCAGAGTCTTATTTGTTTTATAAGTTTAAATTAGAAACTTTTGGTTCAAATTTTTTTTATTATTGCGTTTTCTCTAATAAAAGTTTTAAATTTCAAACTTATGAACCAAAGTCACTTTTAAAGTAACATCTTAATATAACATAAAACCAAACACTCTATTATGGGAGCTAAATAACCTTTTATGCAAGGAGTTAAAATAAAGAGAAAATTGCTGAATTTATTTTTAGAGTGCATGAGTCTAAATTTTTACCATTTACTAATAATAATATTAATCAAGAGTAAGGGATAAAAATATAAACCCATACATTCTAAAAAGTATTTGTCTCCTTTTTCTAAAAATAAATGACACAATTTTTCAGTAAGTTTATAAGTAGAAGTAAATATGAGACCCCATGGCAATTTAGTTGGTAAATTGGGATTTATTCGAATTTGCTTCCTAATCAAATTTGATAAATCCGAGATTTTCCGGATTTACTTTCATTAAACACCAAATTATGTACATTTTTGTTTACATAGTACGTATTAATTTTTTTGGTTAATGAATTCATTTTTTATCCTTACATCTTCATGCTAATTATTAATTATTGTGGTAAATAACGTTTTTTTAATTGAAAAAGGGATTAATAATGTCATCATGCCTCTACTAATAGAAGAAAAAGGATCATATTCATTTTTACTCGAAAGATGGACCATGTTATCACTTATGTCACCATGCCGAACAACGCATTGATCGGATAGAGATTTTAAAATGGGACTGTAGAGTATCAACTGAATCCTAAGCGCATTTTGAAAGAAAAAAGAAATACATCTTTGTTGTTGTGCCTATGCACTACAGGTGTGATTTAGTAGGCATTTAGTTCATAAATTCATAATCATAACTCAGAATTATTCTTGATTTACGTGTATTTTTTATAAAAAAAAAAATACTATAACGAACTACAAATTATGATTTAAATCATAACACGAATACACCAACTAAATGCGCAAAAAACGTATAATTATTTAATTAGCTACATTTTCCCCGCTGTATGTGTCCTAAGAAAATCAGTTTAGAACATATCAAACGAGACTTGTGGTTTCCAGCCGATGTCTCTAACCAAAAAGACCGTAAAGACCCAAACAAAGTCTTGCTGTTTACTTGATTGGTTCAAGACTGAAGCCAAGATATTATTAGATATCAATTTACTTGACCTGACTTTTACCTTTTGACTTGGTAATATACAGTTGAGTCAGCTATACGTACTTAATTATGTTTGCATTTATTTTCCTTTCAACACAACAAGAAATGTCTTTATTTCCTTGGTGACCTTGTTTATTTTGCACATTAATTACCCAAACATCAATTCGGGATATATATGGAAATTTTTTTTAGTATGCTTAGCGTACTGATAGGTCGTATTTTTTTAACTATTACATTTACGTGTTTTTTAATTTTTATGTGATTTTATACAGATTTAACGGATAAAAAATCTGACATATCAATACTAAAAAAAGTCCATATATATATTAGTTGAAATTGCTTGCGCATGCGTGAGATTCTGTAATAATGAATTAAAAATATATTTGTTAGAGTCTCATTCAGAAAAATAAAAAATATATATAATAAGACAAAAATGAAAAAAAAAATGAGGAAGAAAAAAGTGAGAGAGGAAAAAGACTTAAAAAAAAAAAAGTTACAAACGAAACGTTTATTAGTTGAACATGATTTTAAAAAAATTTAGATAGGGATACGTATGAAAAGAAATTATTTAACGGGAAAGTAAAAACAAATATATTTATGACGGTCAATTTAGAGAAAAAAAATGTATAATGAACTAAAATATATATATAAGAATGTAAAAAGAGTAGACAACAAAAATAAAGAAAAGAGGAAAAAGAATGATAGTTTAAAAATAAAAGGAAAAAAAATAAAAATAAAAAGTAGAAGAAAAATAAAAAAGCCCGACGAAACAGAGGAGGCAACGAAATACCTTCCCCAAAAAACCAATTGCCACTTAATATGTAATAGTGGATTATCTATGCGGTTGCACGGATAAAGAATTTAGTTTAGGTATTTGCCTTCAACTACTAACATAATGCATTATAAATAACTGAAATAAAGATAAACTTTTGTGTGGAACAAAATATAATATTACACTATCGAACAAACTATCATACATGAATCTTTTTTTTCTGTTTAAGAATACAATCCTGAGAAAATGCGCCAAATCTAGTACAATTAATCGAAATACAACCAAATTTCGTATGATTTAATGAATACATTTAATTGTTCTATAAACTCAAAAACCATTAATTATTATTTACATTACAATAATTACATAAGATACATGTTTTCCGTCAATACATAGTGAAAGACGATCTTCACTTTCTTCAATTATATAAGGAGGAAGAAACAACAGAAAGAAATAAATTGGAAAAATAAACGAATAAACATATAAATATAACAAAATGTAATACAGTATTAAAAAATATAATGAAGGAAATGAAACGTAAAACTATTTGTAATTTTTTATGAATAAACAGACATAATACATATATAAATAAATAATGCATATAAAAAATAGGTTCATGTATTGATATTCTATTGTTAGCAAGATATATAAAAAATAATTGAAAAATGATTCGACAATGTTATTGGCTGCCAACAAAATTACTACAGGATTTGAGTAAAACTTTATTGAAATTAAAAAAAAAAAAAAAAACAGAAACGGTAGGAGAAAGAAAACAGAGAAATAAGATTAGATTTAGATAAAGAAAGTAACGAAAAAAAAAAAACAAATAATGCTAATAAATTTAAAGATTTGGAAAAAAAATCAAAGAGAAAGAATAAGAGCAAAAAGACGACAACATAAAAGCAGAAGGAAACATTTAAACATAAACATTAATACCTTATTATAATCAGAAAAAAAAACCATTTAACACTTCTATTAATAAAATGAATCATAATATCCGTATGTAAAAAAAAAAAAAGATCTATAAATAACGAAGAACAGTTACAAATAAACAACAATAGTAAGAAATGAATTGAATGAAACAAAATTGTTAGGAAAACCATACAATAAGTATAATTAACAAACGACATAAGGTATCATATGAAAACAATAACATTCATATAAAGTAGTTACATCCGAATAGTAAGAATATAAGCTATAATAACATAACAATCGCAGTGTAAACAAACGAAAAACGAACAAAGTAAAAACTAATTACCGTTTGATTTAGTTTCTTTCCTTGGGTTTTTTTAACACCAACTAATTAAAAACTTTTAAGTTTTACTGTTTGATTTAACCTAAGTTCTTTAATTGACCTTGACAATATTTTTTTTATTAATAGAGACTGATCAACTTGGCTTGTTTTTTCTTTTTCTTCATTTTTTTTTTTTTTTGAAGTAAAACCACTTCTCCCATGTGTTCTTATGACCCCTGATACTTTGTAGCAAATATTTTATTATATGTTGCTTTTGTTTTTCCTATAAGTTTTATATAATTTATATGTGTCACTTTCATTTATATCCCATTCTTGATCTCCATGAGTATTTTATTTCTTACTTATCCCATTTGCTAACTATCATATTTTTCGGAACTAAACCATGAAGCTCATAAGAGCGTGGCTGCTAACAAAAGTCTACAAATGTTGCTCTCCACGTAATACTTATTATTATTATTATTATTATTATTTTAGTAACCACGTAATACTTATTATTAAAATATGTACATATAAATTTGTTAAGATTATAAATATCTTCGGAGTTCCTTTCAGTGAAAAAAAAAAACTTTATTATACATATTGGGAAAACCTTAATAATTAATTATTCCCATATTAAATTTCCATATGTCATAATTATTGTCATTACATAATTACAATCATGACAATTAATTCCCGTAAAAGGATTTGTATATATTTTTCCAAACAGCTAAAGTCAATGAAACTTTTCAACTCGATATATATTTGGATATCCTCTACTTTTTTATTCTCTTTCTAATCTTGTATTGTACGTATGAAATATTAATTATACTCACTAATGCAAGTTTTTAATCTTTGTTAATATGATCTTCCTTGTTGGTGAAAAATATAAGAAAAATCACTCGTTGAACTTGGTACCAAAAATAATATTGTTTTTTCTATTTCCACATCATGACATTTATTTCTAGGCTCAAGTTATGTTAATATTTTCTTTTGGTAAATACGAATTATATTAATATTGCATCTATAGGATTTTTACTTTTAGCTAATCCGTGACTATACGCAATGTGCTTTGTTAAACTTTAAAATAAGAGGATGAAAATTCGATTTTTTGCAACATATATATATATATGATTTCGATCTAGATATTGTGTTTAATTTTATGGGATTCAATCTCATCTAAAATTATAAGTTGATATTTGACTAATTTCATGTATAGTACTTACCTAAATTGATAATTGTAATCTCTTTTTTTTATGCAGCCATAATTTATAATTATATTACTAGTGAGGTTTGTCTTTTATTATCCATACAGAATGTAGGATGTGCTTCGTGTTTTGTTACATATATATTATATGGTCCGTATTATATATATATATATATAGATACTATTCTATCATATATATGATCGATATTAGTTGTTGGGACGCATGATTAGCACTATAATTCATAAGCTTCCAATTACCAAACGCGATGAAGTACTCATCAATTATATATTTAAAAATGTTGATTAAAAAAAAGGAGTGAATTAATTATTTAACTATCAAGTTCATGGTATATATTTTATACATACACACATGACATGCATGTATAGTATAATTTGTGTTTTTATTTTTATTTTTTTTATGTATAAATATACTATTGTGTGGAACACTCCGGCAAAGGGGATTTGGGGGATTAACCGATGATGGCTTTAGAGACTACTTCTAGATGGATGATTCTTAATTGTAATTACACATAATCGAATTAAGACTGATCCCTATTTCAACCGACAAAGGATCAAAACATCTTATATAATATATACTACATATAATATTATATACAATACATTAACCCAAATTAAGCTATCTTTGGTTAAGGGTAAAAGTCAGATCAAAGTTTCAATATAGTTTATTGGCGCCTCAAACTTATAGTTTGACAATATTTGCTTTCTTCGGACTGGAAATGGGAAAGGATCCATAAGAAAAGTCAAAAGTATTACATCCCAAAAAAAAAAAAAAAAGAATCATCAACAAATACAGGAAAGCAATAGACAATTCTAGAATTGCCCTTTTGTTAATATTGGTAATTATATACATACTACGGATTGCGATATAAACTCATGCAATACTTTCAAAATCACGTGGTTGGGGTGATGTGTGCCTTATTTCTTGTCGTTTCCTTAGCATTTAGTATATTGGACTTGAATCTTTTTCATTGTTTGTTGAAATTCAGAAGAAGACGAATGTTAACAAACGATTTTGTAGTCATTTTATCCCCCTCGTCACGGGAAGATAGAGAGAGAGAGAGAGAGAGGGGAGAGAGAGAGAGAGAGAGAGAGAGAGAGAGAGAGAGAGAGAGAGAGAGAGAGAGAGAGAGAGAGAGAGAGAGGAGAGATTGGATTAAAGTCATATATAACTTGAGTTTGACCAAGTGTTAACCATAATAAATTGGAGATGATATTCAACAAAAAGTTAAAAACAGCAGATTTATACTTTTCGTTAGCACTAATTTAAGGGCCTTGTATGTTTAGCAAACTTTTGACATCATGAAAAACAGCCTTTAAAGTTGTTTAGATGAAATTTAAGAAAAGGTAAGACTCAATTGGCTTCATGTGAAAAAGCTTCCACAAAATTAAACATGAGAAGTTATGTAGTTTTTTAGAGTTGCAAATAGTTTTTAATTTATATATTTGACCTTATATTTATAATTAGTTATGAAATGGAAATCTTATTTATGTATTAGAAAGATCTTTTAAGTTAAATATATATATATATATATGAAGGGGTTAAGTTAAAAACATATTAGCCAATAAATTGGTAATTGAACTGAGTAGTTTACTTCTCTTCTATGCCGATAAAGAAGAGAAGACCTAAAAGTCAGCCAAATTAATGAGCAAGTATAACAGTATATTACTGTATATGTAACAATTTATACCCATACTTGTCAATTCAAATGAAAGCAATTATGAAGAAAATTCATAGGAAAAAAGTTCAATTTAGGACATATACGAATACTCAATACGGAAATAGTAGAAAATAGATCAATATGAAAAGCTTAAGAAAGTATACAGGTTAACTTTTAGTTATACAAATTAATAGGTCATAACTTGTCAAGTTATGGTTCATAACCAGATAAGTTATGAACAAACTTGTCAAGTTATGGTTTATAACCAGACAAGTTATGAACAATAACTTGTCAAATTATGGTTCATAACCAGACAAATTATGGATAAAAACAGTAATTTGACCTATTTATTAACTTACGTAAATTATTGACCTATTAATTTTAATTCATCTCAAATCTTGGCTTATTTTCCTCTTTCTCCCTACTCAATATATGATATTATTGTCTAAAATCTCTTCTAAAACCGCAAAAATAAGTTATTGAGCACGAAACTTTTAATTTCTAAACTTTTTTCAAACAAAAGAAAACTATTTAATTTATTTATTTATGTTCTTGTAGCAAACAACACGCAACAATATATACTATATACTACCTTGTCGTTATATGGATTTATGGACCATTTGTGATTTGTGAATTCGTCTGCTCTAGCTAGCACTGCAAATCTTTTTGAATAAAATGGGTTGACTATTTCATTCGCTGTCCAGAGAATAATTAAGCTTTTATTTTTTTCTTTTTTGTTATCAATTATAGCATTTATGGGATTAGACACAACATTAATAGCCTGCATGTGCTTAGTCTTTGTAAACTAATGTCAAATACTCATTAAACTTGTACGGCAGCGAATTAACTGAAAATGCGTACTTCAAATAGTTTGTACATTATATCACATTACTTGAAAAATAAAAATACACTAATTTAAAAAAAAAAATTCTTTCTAAGTTCATCATATGACACGATATAATCACGGTTGGTTAAACACTCATAAATTATCCTTCTTTTATTAGCAAGTGTTTAAAATTTTACCACGTTAATTAATAATAAAAAATTACACTACCAATAAAAAAAAAAAATTTAAAAATTAATATAAGAGTTAAGATTAAAGTTGTTGTCCTCCGCATCATTCAAAATTAAATAGGGGATTCTTCTCATCTTCATAAGAATCAAATTCAAGTAATTCATGTGCTGTCTCAGCTTATCTTATCCCAGCTGGTCTCCACCTTTTTTTCAAGATGAAATGATCACAAATATTAGTACTATTCAACAATACAATATGAGTATATACATGTGATATGTACTATGTTATAAATTTATAATTAAAGCCACAAAAAAAGAGGACACTGATAATTCTGTGGCGTCTAAATCTACCTGGCTCGGAGTGTAGATTAATTTGTTGGCATGCCATGATTGGTCCACAAAAGCGAAAAAGTCTACTTTTAGTGATCGATCGTCTTGGACATTTTTATGTGGAAGGTCTTGTTTGGAGACTAGGAAAGGCAAGGATCGCGACTTACATTAATTTCCTCTTGAAAATGCCCTTAGTCAAATGAAAGACCTTGACTTAATAAAATTATAAATCAACCAACTACTCTCAATTATAACGCCATTATATATATGTGTAGGTAAGAGAAGGTTCTCATTATATATTTATAATGCTTTTGTATTATAGCAAATATTAATTAAGTTACAATATAGAGCTAGCTATTTATATAAACTTTGTAAGTTTTTTTTCTTCTTCAGCAGATCATCATGATCATGGATAGCCCTAGTAATATTGGTGGTGGTACAATATTGGATGAAGATCATGATCATCATGGTCATGATGATCAAGTTGAAGTTCCACTTCCGGGATTTCGGTTTCACCCAACTGATGAAGAGCTTGTAGGCTTCTATCTCCGCAGGAAGGTTGACAAAAAACCGATCACCATCCAGCTCATCAAACCCATTGACATCTACAAATACGATCCTTGGGATCTTCCAAGTATGCCTTAATAATTATATATATACATATATATATATATATATACACATATGTATGTTTGTATTCACTATAAACTTTGTTTGCTTTGATATCTATCCCTGAAGTAATACAATGTTTTTTCTTTTCTTTTCGTTTTTTCTTTCAACAGAAATTAGCGTTTGGTTTCAGAAATTACTCATGATATAGGAAGTTGATATCATGGATATGAAAAATGAGCTACCTAATTGGACTGAAACCATGGCAAATCTTTTTCAAATATAACCTCACAACTATATATTCATGATATGTATATATATAGCCAATAATATATGGCATACTTTCCACACTTGTTACATTAGTGGTTTGGTTTGGTGGGTTTCAAAAAAACTCCAAGGGTGTATATTCTTAAATTAATTTCTAATTACCTTTGATAAATGGACTATTCATGATATATATATATATATATAGGGATTTGATCTAAAGATTGATACCTGAAGACTTCCTAAATTAACCTATAGCCACTCAGCTCTTAAAACTTTACCCTGATAAAAAAAAAAATTAATTTAAACTAGATGCATGGTATTAGGTATATATTAGTGTAACTAATTCTTAATTTTTTTTATTATAATTGTTCTATGTCCTCTCTTCTGTTTCTCATAAGGGTTTTGTTTGATGCCATGCAGAAGGCACCTCATGTAGCGCAGGAGATAAAGAGTGGTACTTCTTCTGCAAAAGAGGAAGAAAGTACAAGAACAGCATAAGACCGAATCGAGTGACCGGCTCCGGGTTTTGGAAGGCGACCGGCATCGACAAGCCGGTGCATTCCCACGGAGGAGACTATGGACAGAAAAATCAGTGCATTGGACTCAAGAAAACTTTGGTTTACTATAGAGGAAGTGCAGGGAAAGGCACCAAAACTGACTGGATGATGCATGAGTTTCGCCTTCCCACCATTAATGACAATTACCATAATATCACCAATATTCACCCAGCTTGCAACACACCTAAGGCAGATCCTCAAGAAGCTGTAAGTATATGTATACAATGATAAACATAATTAATTTACTTGACTCTGGAATTATAAGCATTACATAATTAAGGAATTAAGTCCCGACCCCTTTTTTTTTAAATTTGGAGAGAAAGAGAAACTAGCATCATAATATCACATGTCATTAAAATTATGAAATAACTTTGGCAAAAAAGAAAATAAGATTGACTTTACCCGAAAAAAAAAAAAAGAAAAAAACATAAGATTCGATCATAAAAAATCCAATTATATATCCGAAAAATTATGTGCTATATTCTTATTTTAATCTGATTGAACAATTTCACATCTATCTAGCTAAAGATTTCCAAGACAATTCATACATACTACTATGTATTCAAAAAATTATGTGCTATATTATTCTTGATATGTTATAAATATGTGTATATATATATATATATATATATTAAATGTTTTGACATATCTTGGTTATGTGTATATATTTGCAGGAAATATGGACTTTATGCAGGATATTCAAGAGAAACATGTCATACAGAAGGTACACCCCGGATTGGAGAGAATTATCTACTAAGCGCCATCATCCAATGGACGCAATAATTAGCTCTAAGAAATGCAGTAATTTGGATCATTCTGATAATAACAATAACATTACGACTAATCGAGAAGCTAATCATAATTACATCGATTTCAGCACTCCGATTAGGATGAATTATCACGAGGATCATCAAGAGAAGAAGCCTGTTATAAATCACACGATGATCATGAATAATAATGGAATTAGTCATCACGACCGTACATCTAACCAGCTCTTGCATGCTGGTCAATTGAACTCCAATATGGTCCCTCATAATTATAACAATCACAATATTATTAATGTTAATCCGTCTATTAATCCCTTCTCAAGCTGTTTTTCGACATGCCCAGATGAGATTAGTGATGATCAGTTATTTACGCGCATGACAAATACTACTTGGGATGAGCTTAGCGCAGTTGTAGAGCTTGCTCTTGATCCAGCTTTTGAGTAATTAATTATATTTACTAGCTTAGTTAGCTAGACTTGTTGTAATTATATACACACGTATTTATTAGATTTAGATAGATACATATATAGCAGTAGTGTGGAGCTTATTAATTATGTGTTGTACTTTTGGATTATTTTACTGGATTCTTTTCTTTGACAGTTTTATCTTGATGTACTTGGGAGGATTATCTATGAGTTATGTGGGTAATGTATATAGTATGTATTTATAAAGCTTATCTATAGTCCTCCCAAGGTTTATACTTCATCGTAACATAATAAAATGAGAAGTATAACATGATATTTATTAAATATAACACGACGTTAGAAAGATGTAATAAGAAGAACTTTATCTAGGAGTATTGTTACACTTTTTTAATGTCAATTTAATATTGAATAAATGTCATATTATACTTTTTACTTCTATATTTTTTTAGGAAAATGCTACTGTACCGTAGCATACATTTTCTCTATTGATAGCGGAAAAAAAATCTAGGGTGTAGATTTATTGGATTTGAAAGGGGCCCCACGTGACTCTTGTTGAAAATTAAACTCTGCAGGTTAGCAAAATCCATTACTTCGTTGGTTTGGTGTTTCCTCCCAAAAAAAAAAAAAAAAAAAAACCTAAATCCTTCAAATTGTAGAAAATGCCTGATTTGCAGAAAATCTGGCCAATTTTGCAACCAATCAGATCAAATTGAACATGACAATATATCAAATTCAACAATAATACCACTTTCAACACCAACATCGGTAAAATTCAAACCCAATTTTGAACAAATTTCATGCCAAACACAACTCCTTAATCCTTATCTACACATAATTCCAAAACTAATTTGGGAGAAATTTGGCACAAAACTCGGAGGACAGAGACGGTGGTGGTGGTTAAGGCTGACGATCTAAGTAGCGACACGATGACATAATTTGAAATATGTACGAAATTAACGAGTTTGGGTTTACTATAAACGAGTTTGGGTCGTAATCGCATTGACACGATTAATACGATTAATAAATGGGTTGGATTAGGATTGACCTCTTAACATGAAGTAACACGAATTGACACGATTAACTATATATGTTATCTGCAATCTAATGATATGAGATATAACATGAAAATTTATATGACATATTAAATACAAATAATGTGAATTTTAATATTTGTAGATAAAATTTATTTATTTTTCTCAAAAAAAAAGATAAATTGACCAGATCGTGTTAAATAAGTCATTATTATATTAATTATTTATTTAATATATTAATTTAAACGGGTTATACGAGTTAACACGATTAAAACGATTAATAAATAAGTCGTATTTAAATTGACATTTTGACACGTTTAATAAACAAGTCGTGTGTAAATTAATATTTTTTGACACGAATAATAAACAGATTGATACGAATACGACACACTAATATGAATTGTCACCCTTAGTAGTGGCTTGTGGAGGCAAAACTGAGTTGCAGCAGTCATTTCGATTGGTGGGTAGTGAGTTACAGTGACGAAACGTGCTGGTCGCGAAAGAGGTCGTGATCCCTCATCACGGTGGTGGTTGGGACCTCGGTGGGTAGGTTGCGATCAGCGAGCGACAGAGAACACGTCCTCACGGTGACGACGTAGAACACCTGCGAACCCGAACTAATGTTACGTGCAAGAAAAACCCCCTTCTTCCCTTTCATTCTTCTACGGCTACCCCCATTGCATATTAGATGTGCCTCTCTTTTAACCACCGTTAGATCTAATAGAGTGGTCCTACATTGAATACCATCAATACGGACAAGGACCATCCGGTACTATATCACTTCCCTTTTTTTAAATGACTAGTTTCATATGTTACGTGGGTGTAGAATATTGTCTGACCATTGAAGTTGGACATTCTCCAATGAACTGCTTAAATATTCCTGAAAAGTTACGCACAAATTTTTCATGGTTGTGTTACTCATAAAGTATTTGGACCATAAAGAAAGAAGATTTTGCTTCAAATTTAACAGAAAGATTTACAGAAAAAAAAAAAAAAAGAAAGAAAAGAAAACGATCTAGTGCTGCTTGACAGATATACTTGAGAAATCTTTTTTTTTTTTTTTTTTCGGGTAGAAAGTTGAAGAAATAGCTAGACTTTGGATCCGGGTGACGTATGTTTTGTATTCCTTTCCTTTTATGCGTTTTTTTCTTCTTTCTTTTTTTTTTTTTTTTTCCTTCTGTTGGCTTATTGGTTTTCTACAACAAGAACTTAAAACCGCAACACAATATATAATTGAACCAGAAATCATTCTTCACTTACTCATAATCCATATACATCATCTATTTGGTCCATTTCCTTTCAAAACGGATTATGTAGCTTGTACATTCCTTCAGAAACACGTAGAATTGTGTCCCAAGAAAGTCACGACTTGGTACTTTCTATATTTTGAAAGAAGATTAAAGTTATTACACAAAATTGTAGTCGCTATACGACTTAAAAGCGGCTACATCGATTTGATGATCTCTTCGATAGTTATCACTCTGTCACATGGCCTTTCCTGCCCGGAAGCTTCATCTCAAGTACTGCTGATGATCTTCTGTAAAAGACAGCAGAAGTAAGAACCGTTTAAAACTCAATGATAACATGGTCCGGACTCCAAATTAGTCAGGAAGTCTCATGGAGAAGGCAAAGCAGTATGATTTGAACTCGAGAACCTTCAAAACCGTTTCGACTTTGCAATATCAGCACTCAGTCTTGCTTCTCTGCAGTTTAAAAATGGCCTCCATATACCGACGCTGTATTCGCTTCTCCGTACGAATTTGATATGTATTCTGCATCTAGTATGAGCTCTCTTGACTGTGCAAGGGATATGGAAGCTGCTTATCACCATGAGAACCACTTGCTTCGCTGTTCAGCTCTACTGCTACTGGGCGGAGTTACGGTGATTCTGTCTGCATTTTGGGAAAGCCATTTCCCGAAACCAGGGGAAGAGGCAAGCTCTTCTAAGGCATTATCTGTGGATTCTCTGGTGAACTTTTCCCATTCAGGCTTCGAGAACCTTCTCCCTTCAGGTGTAGTGTGGAAACTAGAAATGTAAAGCTGATTGGAGCCACTCCCGCTAAAACCTGAAAAATACACACGTACATTAAAAAATGTCCTAGATGCAGGTGTTTTCTTTGTTAGTTGATGGGTGTCAAAAAGAAACAAACCACGGTCTGCAGGACTGGATGGAACCATGGTGAAATTTTTGGATCGAGGTATTGTCCGGAAACTGAAATCCTCATTGCTTCGGATCCTATCAAGAGGATCTTCTAGAGCTGAAGAACCAGGAAGGTGTGCCGTTTTGTGCTTCCTTTTAGCGGATTTCCTTAACTCTCTGCAGAAGTATTAACCAAATGTATTGTTCACCGCAGAGGGGGGGAAAGAAAAGAAAAGAAAAGAAGCACAAAAATGCAATTACTCATATAATTTGATTTTCCCTTTCCTGCATCATACATTAGATCTACTAACAGAATGAATGGAAGCATAGTGTCAATACCAGATGGCTATGACTAACCTTTAGAACTCGAAAGGAGTTTTACCTGTAAATATAACGAATCCTTCGCAATCTAAAGATACTCCTCAGTATTGAAGAGGTTATCATTCCAAATATTAGAGCTTCCGTTGCCAGCATGGGATCCACAGAACTCTGGAAATAACAATATTCTTGTCAAGTATACAATAATTTTCTAAGATATAGACAATTCTTACAGAAAAAATATGATGGTTATAGAGGATAACAACCTGAAGAATCAAAAGAGCAGACAAGATTCGGATGGACCATGCAACAAACAGGGATGTGCTTGTATCTATAGATCCATCTTCTGTCGGGATGTGTTTGTGAACCACCCAGAAGGCCAACCAGCCTCCGGCCAGAATTAAAAACACCACTAGAAAGACTACCAACTGCAACAATTGATGATCAAATAATTATTTTTTGAAGTAATTCACATGGTGGGCGGATCACATGCCATTAAGGGGTAATAATATCTGTGTGCGTGTGAGCGTGTGTGTGCGCGCGCGCGTGTGAGAGAGAGAGAGAGAGTTTAAGAAAAGAGCTGCTTATAACAACCAATGCTCTTTTTAGATAGAAATGGATAACCTCCGTACTCAAATACGATTTTTCTTTTTCGCTTTTATAGCAGCAAGGCAATGCAATAATCAGAACTAGTATCACTTACAGCATAGTACATTTCCTCACTAATTCCAGCCTCTGTAAGTATTGAATGCCAAATTCCAGGAAAGTAGTAGAAGAGAAAAGACACCAATCCGACCTGATAAATCGCAACATATTGAGCTAAAAATTAACATCTTCAAGTAAATTGAGAAAATAAGAAGGATTTAGGCCTGATACCCACGACAGATGAATAAATGAAAAGTGAAGTCTTTGAACCGGTTGGAAGAAGTTCCATTGCCTTTTTCAACCCCTGCCAATTACCACGAAACATAATGTTACATTATATTATTGAAAAATACGCCAAAAAGGTTCGTGTCCAAGATTGTGAAAAACGTAAAGCTAATAACAATTGCAACATTTTAAACTTGGAAATAATCACTACAACAGATTCATTCATGAAAATGAAATGCCATATCCAGGTAAAATTTCCACTTCAACTGAAACTTGAGATAATGGATACTCGTTAGGAAACCTCATCGTCCAGCATTGACAGTTACGTCAGTGATATGGTAGCATACATTAGAATTTGCATAAACTAAAGAATATCACGCGAGAATCATAAAGAACCCCAGCAACATCAACAACAACAGCAGACCCTCAACATGTGTGAGAGGGAATGAGAGAAAGAGAAAGCTGAACAGACAAATTAGCATTTAGCACATTGCCACATTGTACTATTCTAACATGTGTGGAGATTTCGGGCCTATAAAAAAGAACTTTGGACAAAATTGATGCATATAGTGAAGACCGTAAGCAAGATTCTTTTGAAACAAACTTGAGCGATAATAACTACCAGGAACTACCAGGACAACCGTGACAACAGAAACAAACTTGAGCAATAATAACCAACATTCAGTTATATCTAAAAATGAACTAAAAGCTTTTACAAATCTTCAATATCGCATCGGACAAAGGAAATAAAAATTACCTGAAAAAAGACCACCACTATCACAAGGATACCACCACTTGCCATTGTAGTGCCGTAGTAAAACACTAATGAGTTGCTTAAAAAGGAGGCCAAGCTCATCATAACCATGCCCAATGCTAAACATACTACACGGTATACATGTAATTCTGCCCAGCAAAAGAAGACGAAACAAACAATTGAACAATTCATACTAACACAAGGACTAAACTAAGATCTGAACAAACATAATATAGCTGAAAAGAACATTTACCTTCTTCTATAGACACCTCAAAGCTTTCCAAAGATGAACTAGCAGCCCTTATATCTAACACCTTGTGCCCGAAAGGCGACGCAGACCGAGCCCAGGAACCATTAGAAACATTCTCCCACTTGTTCTTGGGGCACATTCCTAAGCCCAAAGACATATTCCTGTAAATTGAATAATCAATATAACTGTCAAAGACAAGATCAGCTTCTATCAAATTATAAGATGATGTGATACTGGCTAACCTGTGAAAGCAAACTCCAGCCTTTGGCAGATGACCAGTTGAATTTGTGACTGATACTTTTATCTTCACTGAGTGGGAAAATTTCCACAGATTTTGAATTCTGGACAGTCCATAAATACGAACCCTTTCACAAACCATGGAAATTCCGGGCTTGGAATTAGGACAAGTTTTCACTTGCACGCCGCCATGAGATAATTGCAGCTTAGCAGATGGAGCAACCACTGAAGAAAAAAAAAATTTATATATATATATATATATATATATATATTTGTGTGTGTGTGTGTGTGCGCGCGCACACAAAATCAGATAATTATAAAAAATAAAAAATAAAAAAAAATTTGTATTCGGATAACATAAAAGAACCTAAAGTGCGTAACTATTTAACATGTAATGAACAAAAAGTTTGAGATTTTCGTAGCGACAGACGAAAAGATTGGAACTTTGTTCATGAGTCTTGGTTTTCTCGGCGTCCAAACAGAGCAGAAGAAAAGCAAAGATACTGAAACCCTAGAATTCGGAGAAGAAGACGAACCTAAAGAATGTTGATCGGAAGGTGGAGCCGTGGAAGAGGAAAAGGGAAGGCAGAGCAATAGAAGGAAGAGAAGGCGTGTAGATATTAGGACTTGCTTAGCGGAAGCCATTGACTGGAAAGGAAAGGATTTGGTTTCCTGTTTCCGGTGACGGAGAAAAAGAGCACAGCAAGGGGCAAGACTGAGGGAGAAGAAGGGCGGGGAGAGAAAATACGAGACCTTGGGGAGGGTAAGTAAGTCATTTTGAAAACAGGCTCATTATTCTCAAATTATATTTGAAAAATTATTAATTTCAAAATTTGACGGTAAAGAATAGAGAAAAATGAAAATCTAAAATGTACCCCAAAGTTAACTAAACCATTCATTTTCCCCTGTGTTTTCGATAATCCAAATAATCCTAAAATTATTCCCTAATTTTTTCAAAATAAGTAAGAGTGGGCAAATTGTTGACAAGAATGTTCTTAATGATTAACATTTAAATATTATATCAAACAACTAAAAAAACAAATATAGAAAAAAAAGTAAAATTTTCAATAAAAAGTATATTTTTTGTTAAATAAAACTCAAATTTAATACGTCTAACTAGTAAAGTCCCATATAAGATCTTATGTTGTAACCATCCATACATGATTAGTCGAATTTAAACTTATCGGACCGATTATATTCCAAACTCAATATTTTATTGCGATTATCCAAACATGCTTTTATTTAGTTTTGAAATTTGTTTCTAAAAATTTTATATAATTAATGGCTAAACTAATGTATTTCTCACCGGTAGATGTAACTGCCTTGAGGATTAAATGTTTGATGTGGTACATCAATGACAAACTCTATAGGTGGCGAATTGATCACCATATTATATGAATAAATGGTTCGTTTAGTTTTTTTGATTGAATTTTTAATTTGAGTTGAAATGTGATTTTATATAAAAAAAATTTATTGTAATAAAAAAATTAAATGTGACTGTTTATGAGAGTTTTTTACTATAATAAAATTCAAATTTTAAATTTAAATTGATACTGCCTTGGGGATTAAATGTTTGATGTGGTACATCAATGACAAACTCTATAGATGGCGAATTGATCACCATATTATATGAATAAATGGTTCGTTTAGTTTTTTGATTGAATTTTTAATTTGAGTTGAAATGTGATTTTATATAAAAAAAATTTATTGTAATAAAAAAATTAAATGTGACTGTTTATGAGAATTTTTTACTATAATAAAATTCAAATTTTAAATTTAAATTGATGAAATAAACGAGACTAAAGTGTCTCAATTAATACTAAAAAAACACAAAAGGTGACTCCAACGAATTGTCCTTTACTTTAAATTTTAACTAATCACTCCTTAAATTCAATAAAGCAATATACAATTTTACAAGTTCAACTGAAAAGCTCGTGCTAGTAACTTGTTATGTTACATTCAAAGATTAAAATAAATAAAAAAATCTTACATGTCGTTATGAAATTCATAATAAAATTCAAATTTTAAATTTAAATTGATGAAATAAACGAGACTAAAGTGTCTCAATTAATACTAAAAAACACAAAAGGTGACTCCAACGAATTGTCCTTTACTTTAAATTTTAACTAATCACTCCTTAAATTCAATAAAGCAATATACAATTTTACAAGTTCAACTGAAAAGCTCGTGCTAGTAACTTGTTATGTTACATTCAAAGATTAAAATAAATAAAAAAATCTTACATGTCGTTATGAAATTCTACAGCAGCTTATTAAATTTTCTTATATAATTTATTTATTAATCTTGAAATTCAGAAGGTATTTTGCCAATTAAAGAGGCAAAAACGCACCCAAAAAATGGATGGACAGTCTTTTTTTTTTTTTTTCCCCCCTACTAAATGGATAGCTTTTGAGTGGGAATAAATAAACACACGTCCAGACGTGGAAGAGCACCTGTGCGGATATCTCTCTTACTTTATCAATCAGACATGATAGGTACGTAATAAACCGACAAAGGCCCATGATAAAAAAATCAGGCCCATTAAAGCCCATGAATACCAAAAACCCTAGCGAGGGAGGAGGCAACGCATATACCTCGCTAACGCCTCAGATTCTCTCATTTTCTCATTTCTGTTATTTAGGTCACTGAGAGCCGCACCTTCTCATTTCTCTTCACTCGCCGCCTCTCTCTCTCTCCATCTTCTCGGGTATTTTATTCTCTCTCTCACTTCTTTCTTTTAGATCGATGAGTTTCTTTGATGTTTGCGTGTTATTATCGTATTTTGATTTGCTTAATTTTGTTCGAATTGCGGAGAATTTGCTTGTTTTCGTTCTTTACTCTGTTTTGATCGAAATAGTTTTGAGATCTGGAATTTAGGGTTTGAAGAAATGAGTTTTTCGTTTGTTTTCGATTCATCCGGTGAAATTTGGCTCTGCGTTTTAGTTGATGTAGAACCATTTAGTTGTACCGGAGTTTATTGGTTCCTGTTTCGATGTTCATGTGCTTTCTTTTTTCTTGTGTGAAACCTTCATCCACTAATTTTAAAGTGATTTGTTAATAAATTTATGTGATTGAATGTGTGACTTAAATTTATCTGATGTGGCAATATGTATATATACAAGTATATAGACGCATGCATATACATGGTTACATATAAATATATATACACATTCTTTTGCATTTGTGAAAGTTGGTACCAAAATTAGTGGTTTTTAAAGGATTATATTTTTACTTGAATACAGTGTTGATTTGGGTACTTTATTGGTGGTCTTGTTATTGTGGTATACTTTCGGTTTTCTGGTTGTTTTTATTGTTCCTGTGTCCTTGTTAATTTTTTAATTTTTTTTTGTTTGCAGATTTTATTTTTGTTTGTGATACACAGAGGCTAGTCAAGATGGTAAGTGCATTGAGCCCTTGATTTAAGTGGGTTATAGTGATACTTTATATATACACTGCTTGAATATAATGTTTTTTTTTCTTGGTATGTGCAGGTGAAGTTTACGGCAGAAGAATTGCGTAAAATTATGGACTACAAACATAACATTAGGAATATGTCCGTTATTGCTCATGTCGACCATGGTAAGCTTATAGTGCATTTCACATTTGTACTTGATAGACTATGGGCGATGTGTTTTGGTCAAGTGTCATTTTTTTCTCAAGCAGTTTAGCATTTGAGGTTTGAAATTTGAGTTTAGATGGGTTTTGTTTTATGTATTCAATGTATGTATGACCTATTCAGATGCTGCACTAGCAAATCGCTTTGTAGTAGTGAAACCCACGAATAATTGGAGCTTATTTGATTCAGTTTGCTCTCTTACTTTCTCATGTATGATTGTGAGACGTGTTCTTATGTCCATCTTTCTCTGTCTATCAGGAAAATCGACCCTTACGGATTCTCTAGTGGCTGCTGCTGGTATCATTGCTCAAGAAGTTGCTGGTGATGTCCGGATGACAGATACCCGTGCAGATGAGGCAGAGCGTGGTATTACAATTAAATCTACTGGTATATCTCTCTACTATGAGATGACTGATGAAGCTTTGAAGAGTTATAAGGGAGAAAGACAAGGGAATGAGTACCTTATCAATCTCATTGATTCCCCCGGGCACGTTGACTTCTCATCAGAAGTCACTGCTGCACTTCGGATTACTGATGGTGCCCTTGTGGTGGTTGATTGTGTTGAGGGTGTCTGTGTCCAAACAGAGACTGTGCTCAGGCAGGCTCTTGGTGAGAGGATTAGGCCTGTCTTGACTGTCAACAAGATGGATAGGTGCTTCCTTGAGCTGCAGGTGGATGGCGAAGAAGCTTACCAAACTTTCTCTAGGGTTATTGAGAACGCCAATGTGATTATGGCAACATACGAAGATCCCCTCCTTGGTGATGTTATGGTCTATCCTGAGAAAGGAACAGTTGCTTTCTCTGCTGGTCTGCACGGATGGGCTTTTACTCTGACCAACTTCGCGAAAATGTATGCCTCCAAATTTGGTGTCGATGAATCAAAGATGATGGAAAGGCTCTGGGGTGAAAACTTCTTCGATCCTGCTACCAAGAAGTGGACCAGCAAGAACACTGGTTCTCCTACCTGCAAGCGTGGTTTTGTGCAGTTCTGTTACGAACCAATTAAGCAGATTATCAATACCTGTATGAATGACCAGAAGGATAAGTTGTGGCCTATGTTGAAGAAGCTTGGTGTCACCATTAAGTCCGAGGAGAAAGATCTGATGGGCAAGGCTTTGATGAAGCGTGTCATGCAGACTTGGCTCCCAGCAAGTAGTGCTCTTCTGGAAATGATGATCTTTCACTTACCATCTCCCTCAACGGCTCAGAGATACCGTGTTGAGAATTTGTACGAGGGTCCCCTTGATGATGTTTATTCAACTGCTATCAGAAACTGTGATCCTGATGGTCCTCTTATGCTCTATGTTTCGAAGATGATTCCTGCATCTGACAAGGGTCGGTTCTTTGCCTTCGGTCGTGTCTTCGCTGGAAAGGTATCTACTGGGTTGAAGGTTAGGATCATGGGTCCAAACTACGTGCCTGGTGAGAAGAAAGATTTGTACGTCAAGAGTGTCCAGAGAACTGTCATTTGGATGGGAAAGAAGCAGGAAACAGTTGAGGATGTTCCTTGTGGTAACACAGTTGCTTTGGTTGGTTTGGATCAGTACATTACCAAGAATGCCACATTGACAAACGAGAAGGAAGTAGATGCTCACCCGATCCGAGCTATGAAGTTCTCTGTCTCACCCGTTGTGCGTGTGGCCGTGCAGTGCAAGGTTGCTTCTGATCTTCCCAAACTTGTTGAAGGTCTGAAACGTCTGGCCAAGTCAGATCCTATGGTTGTGTGTACTATGGAAGAATCTGGAGAGCACATTGTTGCTGGTGCTGGTGAACTTCACCTTGAAATCTGTTTGAAGGATCTGCAGGATGACTTCATGGGTGGAGCTGAAATCATAAAATCTGATCCAGTCGTCTCCTTCCGTGAAACCGTCCTTGAGAAGTCAAGCCGAACCGTGATGAGCAAGTCTCCCAACAAGCATAACCGTCTATACATGGAAGCGCGACCCTTGGAGGAAGGGCTTGCCGAGGCTATTGATGACGGTCGTATTGGCCCAAGGGATGACCCTAAACTCCGATCGAAGATACTGTCTGAGGAATTCGGTTGGGATAAGGATCTTGCCAAGAAGATCTGGTGTTTCGGTCCTGAAACCACCGGTCCCAACATGGTTGTTGATATGTGTAAGGGAGTTCAGTACCTCAATGAAATCAAGGATTCTGTCGTTGCTGGGTTCCAGTGGGCATCTAAGGAAGGTGCTCTCGCTGAAGAAAATATGAGAGGTATTTGCTTTGAAGTTTGTGATGTGGTCCTTCACGCTGATGCCATCCACAGAGGTGGTGGTCAGGTCATTCCAACTGCTCGTAGAGTCATCTACGCTTCTCAGATCACAGCCAAGCCAAGGCTTCTCGAGCCCGTCTACCTAGTGGAAATCCAAGCTCCTGAGCAGGCTCTCGGTGGTATCTACAGTGTTCTCAACCAGAAACGTGGACATGTCTTTGAGGAAATGCAGAGGCAGGGAACCCCGCTTTACAACATCAAGGCTTACCTGCCTGTCATCGAGTCTTTCGGATTCTCGAGCACTTTGAGGGCTGCAACCTCAGGGCAGGCTTTCCCACAGTGTGTCTTCGATCACTGGGACATGATGATGTCTGACCCATTGGAGGCTGGATCTCAGGCTGCACAGCTTGTGGCCGATATCAGGAAGAGGAAGGGCTTGAAGGAGCAAATGACCCCGCTCTCCGAGTACGAAGACAAGTTGTAAGTTTCTTGTCAGGCACCATTCCAATTAGGTTGAGGAGGGAAGATGAAGATGAAGTGGAAGATGAAAGTCATCGGAACCTGAATTTTTTTCTCTTTTCTTCATTCCTTCTCCGCCTCCGTTTTTGCTTTATTTTTATTGTTGTTTTGCAGTACTGTTGCAGAGGATATTGTTAGTCTACAATATCTTGCGTCATTAGAGACAATGTTTTTGTTTCCTTTATAAAATTTTACGTGTCGTGGTGTTTTAAACAGAACAGTATGCAATGCTATGTTCTTGTGTCTTGTCATTACATTGTTTACGTTTTTGAACTCCTGACACCATTGATTGGGGAGATGATGCTATTTTTGATCGTAAGTGTTCGTTTTCTTTTCTTTATGGATGTCATTTCTTAAATTTGATGTCTTGTATTTGTTGATGATATTGGTGGGGGTTGGGTATTGAAAGATTTTCAAACCTGGGTCTTATTTGTTTTGTTTTTTTTTTTTTCTTTTCTTTTTTGGGCTTCTGGGTTTTAAGTTGAAATGAAAGGGGGGTAAGGGTAAATGAAAATAACTAGTTGATCATCATATATATAACATATGCTTAGTGAAAACACCCTACTTATTTATCTTTATGTGGTGAAAGAGTCATATTGAGCTAAACTAAATCCCAAGTTAAATCCTGTACTTTGTACCGAGCATACAGGCATGAGTTGGCTTAATTGAATTATGGTGCGAGAATGTTTATTGTGTTTTGTGTGTACCTCGAGAAACGACGCTGTAGCTTCAAAGCGCAAGTTCTTTATTTGGACTATGCATACTGGAGGCCGTGGCACAAATCCTATGCTATGAACCTTCCGATGACTGATGCTGTAATCACTGCCTTAACAAGTTCCTGCAAAACATTATCCAAAAAAGTAGCAACACATCTTTATCTGAATATTGTTGACTTGCAAATGACAAAATTTAAGTTGAGGTATACTTAGGGTATGTTTGTTTCACAACAAGTTAAGAACTTGCATTTTGTATGTAAAAGAAAAACACTATTAAAAAAATTAAAAATTAAATTTTTGTGAGAAAAAATACTGTAGCAATAGACGGAATATCCTTGGTAGTCAAAGTCATCAGAATCGGGCTTCCTCATCCGTTAACGATGACACTGGTCTTGCTGAAAATTTACCCTTTGGAGGATTGTGATCATATCTATGACAACCAATGTCACTTGCTCAACAACTGCCTTCATCCACAGTAGCTTCCTCTCCATCCTGAGGATTAAGTGCGCTTTCAAAGAAACCTTTTTACACTTAAAATGATGAGTATAAGGACGTGTTTAGTTTACTAACTTAAACTTATAATTCTAATTCTGCTCTCTCATAAAAAATTTGAATCAAAAAAGTTTTTATCAATGGGGTTTCTTACGAAATTTAAATTTAAAATAAAAATCACTAACTTAAATTTATAAACCAAACAGGCTTTAAGCTTCTACTAAAGGATGCTCATTGAGTTCTCAAACATATAAAGAGAGTTTTTGTATACAAAAATAAAAAATCTCAACCGACAGATATCACATGCATGTGATTTCTGACTCTTCTACTACTATCAAGTATCAAGGCTTTGTTCATTTCACAACTAAGCATGGTTTAATTATTTGAACCAAATAATTCAATTCGAATTGTGTTTAAAAATTTAAATTAGTGTTTATTTTAGAAATAAAAATGGATCATTTAAACCATCAACCAAGATTCAAATGGTTGATTTTAAATACCGCCCCTAAAATTTACAATTCGGATAATTGATAACAATTCAAAAACAATTGTTTTTTTGTTTTTTTTTTCCTTTCTTTAACTTTAAACTTAAAAATGTTATAACTTCTTCGCTTCAACTCCAATTGAGATGCTTTTTTCCTATATGTTAATAATGAAAAGGGAAACAAATCCTCATCCATATTGCATATTTTTTAACCTCATTTACAATAGGTTTTGTAAGATTTATTACAAAATTCTAATAACAGTTTTCAACACTTTATCTAAACACAGTTCAGATTTTATTTTCAATTCAAATTACAATTTATTTACTTATCCAAACATTGGTTTAAATCACAATTAAAATTATCACGACTCAAACTGAATTAACAATTTGAGTTGTTGAACTAAACAAGGCCTAAGTCACAATTCAAGTTTTAGTACTTATTTTTTTTCATAAAAATTCAAATTTAACTTTTTTTACTACAATATTTTTCTCTCACATACACAACTCAAATTCTTAATTTAAGTTGTTAAACAAACGTATCCTAAGTATTCCCAAGTCCCAACAAAAAAGAAAACTTTTTAAAAAAATCAAGTATCAAATATATATTTATTTTCTTAGCCGGCGATGAAACGACATCGAGGAGGTCTGAAACGACATTAGGAATGTGGAGGTGCGCGAAGTGTTCTGGTCGTTGGTCCAGTAAGTTGACAAAAGGAGTTCACCGCAGCAGGTTCTCTTCTCCTTTTGAAACCCAACTCTAAAGTTTCGATTTTTACTCTTTTTCTAGGCTTGCTTTTATCATCATCAAATTTTCAACTTCATAGTTCAATCATCAATCAGTATAGCAAAAAAATTTGGATCAAAACCAATTTAGCTCTCATTTTCCCCATTTAGATGCTTTCCCGCTTAAAAGTAACCTCCGAGTGATGTTATAGTGAGTTATAGAAAAGGTATTCGCACCAATTGTTTGATCATTTGCCCCAAAGAAGAACTACCAGTTTTGGCAATATGAAGAGCAGATTGTCGTTTTTGCTCTCACACCAGGCTTTAAAATCCTCTAATTTCTGCAAGAAAAATCCATATTCATTGATATCTCCGAACCCTTATCAGAAATCAAGTTATAATATGTGGGTCCCAGTGAGGTATAGATCCGGTGGAGGAGGCAGACCCAAGAGGAAAATCTACTACAGAGACCATGAACTGGACAGAGTCATGGACTTGCAGAAGAAACCTTCCTTAATCTTAGAGCTCAAGTCCATCATTCAGTCACAAAAGAGCCGGTCTCTTCTTCTCCGGGACCTTGAGAAAGAAGTTGGGTTTGTCAAGAAATGGAATTTCATGAATGCCATTGAGAAGTACCCTTCAATATTTTATGTTGGTGGGGGTAATAGGACACCCCCATTTGTTAGGCTCGCCCAGAAAGCCGAAAAGATTGCCGGCGAAGAAGCTGAAGCCAGGGAATCAATGGAGCCCATTTTGGTTAAGAACTTGAGGAAGCTTTTAATGTTGTCGGTTGATTGCCGGGTTCCTCTTGAAAAGATCAAATTTGTTGAATCAGGATTGGGTTTACCAAATGGTTTTGAGAAGACATTGATCCCGAAGTACCCCGAGTTCTTTTCTGTGAAGGATGTCAATGGAAATGCTTGTCTTCTCCTGGAAAGTTGGGATTCTTCGTTAGCAGTCAGTGCCCGGGAGGAGAAACTTGCAAGTGAAGGAATTCTGGCCTCTGCTGGGAATCCAAGGAAGGTTAGGATATCGAAAGATGGTAATTATCCCGGTCCACATGCGTTCGAAATGAGTTTCCCTGCCGGTTTTAGACCAAACATGAGTTATCTTGAGGAACTTGAGAAGTGGCAGAAGATGGAATTCCCTTCCCCATATCTTAACGCTAGGAGATTCGAAATTGCTGATCCGAAAGCGAGGAAGCGTGTGGTCGGTGTGCTTCATGAGCTCCTGAGTTTGACAATGGAGAAGAGGATGACATCTGCCCAATTGGATGCATTTCATTCAGAGTGTTTCTTGCCGTCCAAACTACTGCTTTGCTTGATAAAACATCATGGTATTTTTTATATCACTAATAAAGGCTCAAGGAGTACTGTTTTTCTTAAAGAAGCTTATGATGGGACAAACCTAATAGACAAATGTCCCATGTTGTTGTTCAATGACAAATTTGCAGCACTTAGTGGTAGGGGAGAGATTAGTTCATCAAGGGAGATGATGCCTTCTACAAAGCATGTTTACTGAAAACTTATTTACTTTTTTTAATTATTTTATTTTTGTGGTATTCTTTCTCAAGTTTGAGATTTTAGCATCCATGCAGGAATTTATATCCTTTAGAACATGAAGAAATGTATATAATTCAGAAAGGCAAACATTTTAAGCCTGTCGTGCAAGTTGTCATGAAATCAAAGCCTACTTGAAAGTGCTGAGAACCAGAAATTTTCGTTTGGAGAATTCTAAATTTTAATAGAACATGATGCAATTTTTTACTGTTCAGACATTGCACAATATTAGTAGGCAAATTCTTTGAACGGTACTAAAGAATTCTCCAATTTCTTTAGTAGGACGAGAAAAATTAGCAAATCTAAATCCAAAGATGTTTAAGTTGCAGACTGAGGGCTTTTTTTTTTTTTTGGTACTTATAGGTCCTGTTCATTTTACCGATTTGAGTTTAGAATTTGAATTTTACTACAATAAAAAGTTCTTAAAAACAGTCACATCTAACTTTTTTGCTACAGTAAAAAGTTCTCACATAAAATCAAATCTCAACTCGAATTAAAAACTCAAATCAGCGAACTAAACGGTCAATAATTTGTAGTGAGTGATGAGTTTGGATCATATTAGTTGAATAAGCCCAAATATGAAAATTAAGGGGATGTTCGGCAGCCCTTTTCTTGAGTCAAAAACTCAGTTACAACTTTATTCAAGTTCATGTTCTTTTAAGTTACAATTTTATTCAAGTTTTTAGAAATAGTCACATCTAATTTTTTTATTACAGTAAAAAATTTTCACATAAAATTATATCTCAACTCGAATGAGTGAAGTAAACGGCAGTGAGTGATGAAGTTTGGATCATATTAGTTGAATAAGCCCAAATATGAAAAATAAGATTGCTCAGAATACATCTTCAAGATTAGCTCAGAATATATTTTCAATTGGCATATCCAATTAGTAATGGACTCTTGGCCCAATAGCTTACATGCAGGTTCTCTGAGGCCCAGTCTCATACAAGAACGATTTGACAATACTTTGCTTAAAAGTTGATTCGAATTATATAGTGCATACTTTAAAGAACTCTCGGACAAAACAAAACTGTCTACTAATCACTCCCAATATGTAATCCCTAAAGTTTGCAAAAATAAAAAACTGAGGAATCCAGATGCTGATATGGTGTGAGTAGGATTTCAAAAGAATAAAGGGAGAGAAAGTTAGTTAGGAATCACAACTCAAGAGAAAAAAAGTTAGAATCCACTTATTATAGTGCACATTTAAGGGGCATCATGAGATCTCAAAACAAAGCTCCAATCTCATTGGCTCACATAATAATGGCAAGTAAGCGTTTCTTGTATGACCTTTTTTTTTTTTTTTTTTTTTTTTTTTTAGTGGACTATAATAGTGATCTTTAACTTAAAACACGCTTTTTAATCAAATCCCAGCTGTATAATATATGGTTGAACATAACACATTCATGATCTCTATTCTCTCTTTATCCCAAATCTCACTTTAATTATACAACCATGAATAAAGTTACCCTTGTTTCCTCCTCTCTTTATTCTCTTACATGTGTGTGTACTATATATATATATATATATATATATATGTATATGTATATTGAATGCAAAGC